CAGAGGGGAAGAGAGAGAGACCCGGATCCTGACAACATTTTAGTCGGCACTCCACACCAGGTTCGGTCATCTGACATTACCAGCATCACCTTCTCCGGCCCAAATATTCCACTTTCAATATCAGTCACCAACCTAGGTGTTAAAATGGACTCCCATCTGACCTTTGAGGCTCACATCAAACATCTCTGCAAGGCCTCCTTCTTCCACCTCAGGAACATCGCCAAACTCTGTCCCACACTCACTCCTGCAGATGCGGAAAAGCTTGTCCACGCTTTTGTCTCCTCCAGGCTGGACTATTGCAATGCGCTCCTCACCGGGATCCCTGAGAAAAGCCTCCAGAAATTGCAGTACATCCAGAACAGCGCTGCTAGGATCCTGTTTAGGGTGCGCAAACATGACCACATCACCCCCATCCTCAAATCACTCCACTGGCTTCCTGTCTCACTCAGGGTACAAGGTACAAGGTCTCCCTTCTTACCCACCAGTGCATCCATGGTGAAGCCCCCCCCCTACCTCAAGGAACTCCTCACCCCACAGACCTCAACACATACCCTCCGATCTGCCTCAGCACATCTTTTAAAACCTCCCAGGACAAAGTTCCGTAAAATGGGAGATCGGGCTTTCTGCTCAGCTGCTCCCAGTCTGTGGAATGCTCTCCCTGACCACCTGAGGACACCACACTGTGGATGCTTTTAAACGTGGCCTAAAAACCCACCTTTTTAGGAGAGCTTTTTAGTGAACTCGTGCCCCTTTTTCTTTTTTTTCAAACTCTCCATGTGTTTTTATTGTTAGCACTTACCTGTTTTATCATGTAGCACTTTGGTATTTTCTTAAATAGAAAGTGCATTACAAATTAAATGTATTATTATTATTATTATTATTATGGCTACCGTCAAGCACGGTGGTGGTAGTATTATGCTGTGGGGCTGTTTTGCTGCCAATGGAACTGGTGCTTTACAGATAGTAAATGGGATAATGAAGAAGGAGGATTATCTTCAAATTCTTCAAGATCACCTAAAATCATCAGCCCGAAGGTTGGGTTGTCTTGGGCGCAGTTGGGTGTTCGAACAGGACAATGAACTCAAACACACATCAAAAGTGGTAAAATAATGGCTGAAACAGACTAGAATTAGGGTTTTACAATGACTTAAATCCCATTGAGAACATGCGGACAATGCTGAAGAAACAAGTCCATGTCAGAAAGCCATCAAATTTAACTGAACTGCACCAATTCTGACATGAGGAGTGGTCAAAGATTTAACGAGAAGATTGCCAGAAGCTTGGGTGATGGCTACTAAAAGCACCCAATTGAAGTGAAAATGGCCAAGGGACATGTAACCAAATATTAGCACTGCTGTATGTATATTTTTGACTCAGCAGATTTGATCACTTTTTCTGTTAACCCATAATAAAGTCATAAAAGAATCAAACTTCATGACTGTTTTTTGTGGCAAGTATCCGTTCCAGAGTTGTAGAAATAACGGGAAACTCGAGAGCCTTGACATTATGTTCTTTACAAGTGTATGTAAACCTTTGACCACACATGTATATGTATGAATATTCATATGCACATATGTATATATGCACAAACTTAAACCTACCAAAAACACTTTATATTCTAACTTCCTTCATGAAGGTATTTCTTAGTGATGCTGGTGACACAGACTTAAATGGTCTTTTATACAGACTATATAAACGTATAAAAACCAGCTGCTACATTTTGTGGAACTAGGCAGGAATATTTGATGCAAAATGTTTTTTCTACAAACTTCACATTAATCTTGTTAATAATTAGCCACATGTAAACAAGGTGGGTTGTTGTTGTAGTTGTCTATGAACTGCTGTCGCTGAAAATGACCTGACCCGTGTGAGGAGCGAAGAGGTGGCGAGCTGAATGACGGCAGGTCTGAAGGTTGGAGTGAGCAGGGTTCAGGAAGACACACACACACACACACACACACAGATCGAGAGCTATAGGTGGGGACGTGGTAGACGTGTGAGTCCTTGAGGAGCTTCTTCAAAAATGTGCAGCTTTCATTTTGTCGGTTTAAAACTCTGTAAAGAAAGAATAAAGAATGCCAAAAATGAGGGGATCAGCTCTGCCTCTCTCACGCAGACACACACCCTACATATCTGTATCCGTTGAATGTCCGTCAGTATATCCATCCTCCTCTCACGACGTCCCTCCCTCCAACCTGCTTTTGATTAGCCCACGTCAGGAGAGATTTCCCCCTGTTGCATTTCTGTGTGTGTGTGTGTGTGCGCGTGCATGATTTCATATGAATACCCACCGTCTCGTCTGGTTTCAGCTCACTTGACAAACCGTTTCTCTGTGTATTTAAATTGCTAACAGACGTGTTGCTTCATGCCGGTTCTGGTTCTTGTTGATACTGTAGGTTGTAACACGTTCACTCACACATGCACACATTGTGTGTGTGCGTGGAATAATCAAAATAATCCTTTTGGAGCCTGCATGTGTGGAAGGTTTTTATTCACGCTCTTGTTACGAAAAACAGGGTGATTCTGCTCATTCCATTTCTGTGCAAACAGATGAAATCAGATATATGTCAAGTGAGATTTGCACGTGCCTCGTATCTCAAACAGATCGGCTATTTGGGCAGCTGATTTCTGTTAAGCAGCTGGGTAGGATCTGTGTGGACTTTGCAGAGAAAAGAGAGGCTGGTGTTGGAAAGAACATGCGTCTGCTGCCATGCAAAGAATCTCTATGAGGGGCAGAATGCTAGCATTCTTGTGATGACAATGTTAATATAGTTTATAGTCGTATACTTTGTATACGAGTAGAAGTATCCACATGAACTACACAACCACACTTCATTAAAACCACGCTTTTGTCAAAGCTTTTAGTTTTTCGAACAAGGTGACGGAGTACCGTTATTAAGAGTATTTTTGTACAACATGTTCTTGATAATGTAAAAATGTTTTCTGGACCAATAACAACACAAATGACCTCATTGGTCTAGTTTGATACAGATTATCTGGAAGTGAACTACATTTCATCCAGCACAGTATGGGGCAGCGTTTGTAAAATGTCACACGTTCTAAAATCCTGCGCAGTTTTGGTACATTCTGCATTATATGGAGAAAAAAAACAAAAAACATGAAAATATTTACATTCACAACATTTATATTATTCAACTTTGTGTTACTGCCAAACATTATCCTTGGAAAAGTTATTGCATGAATTTCTCTAAATGTTTGAAAAAGTGACATGAATATTGTCATGCTTTTTTTTCATATGTTAAATGTGGCAAAACTGCGCATGATTTTAGAACGTGTGACATTTTACAAACGGCACCCCATAGCACAGTACATTTTATTTTAAGAATTTAGCTTGAGACTCTGAAAAAAAGCAGGTGACTTTATTACATTACATGTCATTTAGCTTTTATCCAAAAGCGACCATCACGATGTGAGCTCTTCCTCAGAAACATAAGAACCCTCCAGTTTTGAAGCACTTTGTGTACGAACTCAGAAGCAGTATTAAATGTAACTGGTATTACATTAGAAACTTTATAAAGGTTTACAAATTAAGCTTTGAATATAATGTCATACTACATGCCGTTGCAACACAAAAAGAGAGGGTAAGATGATTTATTTACTGAATTTTAAGGTGCTGTTAGATTGCTGGAGCTTCCCAGCCCCGGATAAGTGGTTGAAGATGGATGGATGTTAGATTGCTGCCCTCCTTAATACAAGTACGTGAGTGACAGCAAACAATGACACCACGGGGACACAGAGGCCTGTACAACCACATGGACATACACAATTACCACTTGCAACACAAAATGACATGCAACTCGAATAACAGAAACCAAAAATACAACTACAATACAGATAGTGTCAGCATTAATTATTCTCTTTTTAGGGCCAAATCATCGGTTTATTTGGAGGCCGTGGGACATTTAGCCGAGAGGTGTTTTTGGGATGAGGTCAGCAAATAGAAGCGCTCATACATACTGAGACTTTACAAACGCACACTGAACTAACTGCTGCTCAGCGGCTAGCGTTACTTTCTGCCGTGTGTGTGTACATTCATGGTCCTCGGGCAGTAAGGGATATCCCAATACATTCAGGAATTCCCCTTTTACAAAGTGCATGTGTTTTCAAGTTGAAGATAATGGAGCAAGACATTGTAGATGAGATTGGGTGCTGATGAGGCCAAAAATCGAAAGCACACTGTTAAGATAGAAGCAGGAGAGTTTCAGAATTGTGAGGGGAAACCCAACATTTATCCTTTAATTCTCTGACCTACATTGCCAGTTAAAAAGCCACTAGGCTTTTCATTTCCTCCTCTCCATTACCATAGGGTAAACACAAACCTAGCGGGGAATTTCCTGTTATTCCATACGGAGACAGTTAGCAATCGCTAACATAGCAGATCGCTTGGGTTTCAGCTAATATCTCCAGAAATGGCCACTGTGTTTGCACAGCATTCGTTTCAGACTACACAGCTGTATCCTTGGAAACTTAGTCGAGCGTAATTCACTGCACATTGTGGCCGTCGGGGAGGGATGGAGTTCTTCATGCAAGTTGTGTTTTGAGTTCTTTGTTCTGTTGCAGACAAGGTCTCGCGATGAAACAAAATGTTATTTTTAGAAGACGAAACAAGTCACATCAAAGTGATAAAAAGAGCAGGTACAAAGTAAAAAATTACCTCAGTGATGACCGCATCGGGGAGAACATGGTGAGCTTTTAAACCAGACACAACCACACCTGCCCCAGGTCCTCGAGGACACACTTTGGTGTGTCGTAATCTTCTTTGGGGGTTTTCTTTTACCAAAAGTGACATATCAGTGGTTAAAGTTGTGTGACCAAACCACAGACAACTCCATTGTGGCGTCCTGTTACACGATTGTCCCGCCCTGAGGCCGACCCTGCTTTATGGCCGTCACGCTGTAGAGATTGAGACCGTAAACTAGTACATCCAAAGAGTCATTTTCTCAGACGTCTTCACCTGTAACAAATCAAGCAGCAGTCCATTCTCATTCAACTGAAATGTTTTATTCTAGTAAACAGCACAGAGCATGTAGAGAGGACCGCAGTTCAAAGCAGACCAGCGGCTGTTCTTTCCACGGCCATTAGTAACTCTAAGCAACTCTCCTAAAAGGTTTCTCATCAAGTTTACTTTTTCTTCTTCTATCTTTTATAGGACAAATATAACGGACATGATACTACACAGACTGTATACACATCGTATGCATCTCGATAAAGACCGCTCAGAGTAGTTTGCCTACATGGGAGGAAGGGCAGTCGAAGGCAGGAAAAAATATTATATAATATTCCACCAAAATAAAGTGAATGGAGAATAAAACAGGTCATCTCAAAATGTGTATATGCTGCTTAACATTTACTCAGCATCCGTTTTCACATTTTCAACCCATACAAAATATCCACTGTTAACAATAATTTTATTTTTCTCTTAAGATTGAGGATAATTAAGTTGTACATTTTACATTTCTTTAGCCGTCATTCTATTAATACTTTTAACTGCCAACATTGCTGATAATTTAAATATACTGAGTACGGTACATTGCGTTACCATTTTCATTCCCCAAAACAGCGAGAGTATTTTGAACTGAAAGGCTTGTAGATTGCAATCAAAGCAGAAACTTCCCCCACAAGGTGAGGGCAGCGGAGTGGCCGTTGGATGGTGCATAAATAATCATATTAAAAACACACTACGTATCAAAAAAAGAAAACGACGGGTTTCACAGGATACACAAAAACAACAATAAAAAAAATAAACATCTATTGCACAATAAAAGTATCAGACAACAATATGAATGACGGCATTGTGTAAGCAGTACGCTGCTGACAGGCTGAGGTCAGAAACAGGTGGAGGGTCACAGGTGGTTCTGGGCTGGCTGTCCAGTATCAATACAAACTGGTACCAGCTGAAATGTGCAAGTGTGGAAAAATTGTACCGTGAGCAGGCTTCAAATACCTGGTCAGATTTGTAATACTGTTGCTTACTTCTTCTTTTTTTTTTTTTTAAGAATTCTAAAATGAATTTGACCAAGTTTAGAAAAATGTACATTTGTACCTACATTTAAAATGTAGCTTTGTCAGTCACTTGTCTCGAGTATTGTTTTGGTGTCCAATTGACATTGAGCGCTAGTTCTCAATGACAAAACATTATTTAAAAAATCCTGTTCTTCCACTTTCACATGAAGATGGCCCCATATTCTACAAAGACCTCTGCTTCCTGTTTGGTTTCCATTTACACAATGTGAAAATATCCTGTTGATGCACATAGAAGTAGCTGTGACCACAGAATGTCACGGTTGAGATAGATTTGCCCTGAAATTCTCCTCCCAGAGCAGTGGGGACCATTGCATCCCGTGACACTCAAATCCTTTCCTACTCGTTTGTGTTTGCTTCCAAAAAAATGCAACGGAGCCATTGGCTGCAAGCAAAAGACCACGGAGACCAAATTTCAAATTGACGTTTTTAAATGTGTCTTTTTTTTTCCCTCACACGGTTGTTCTGATGGCAGAAAATCCATAATAATAATCCATATTTAACTGTTAACTGCTGGCGACGAGCTAGCTTGTTAGCTGGCAGCTAGCGGCACGTTACAATAATGTAATGCCCAGCTGTTTGAGGACATAAAGGCCTTTTAAACAAATTAACTACTTGGAAGCCCAGTATTTCGGGGTCAAATGACAAAGACTTTGTTGGGTAGGCATTCCTTATCAAAACGAATGCATGCATGTTAGCTGCCGTTAGCTGACAGCTAACATTTCACCACAGTGTGACAGAAATAAGGTTAGCCAATGAGTTTCTATGGTTCGGAGGAAGCGCTTAGAAGGTGTCAGCAGTGCACAAGTTAGAGATGCTCACTATACAGCGACACTGATCTCTTAAAAGTACACTTTGTAACAGCTACAGCAAAAATGAAATATTCATGGTATGAAAACAAATGGCAGAGGAGAGGCCATTCACATTTCTGGCAGAATCTGTGACTGCACATTAATAACTAGAGCTGTTCAGTCTGATTTGGGTGAATTCACATTTCTAGCTTTTTTACTTCCAGAGGAGCAGTCAAGCATGTGTGTAATATCTCGGGGGGAAAAGGTTGTTCAATATTACAGTCAAGCTAATGACCTTCCATCATCTTATTGTACCTGTCAGTTCCTTCCTCCTTAAACACCAGGACAAATTTGACATACTATGAGAGTAGGTAGAAATTATGTCTAATCCCAACTGGATCCATTAAGCTCTTGTTGCAGCAGAGGACCGAGCCCAGAAGACTAGGACACTACGGATTACTCAGTCCTGGATGGGGAGATACATAATGTAGACGTTTCTGGCATAAAGTTGATTTTGGGATGGATGTTGAGGTTGTGAATTCATTGCAGTAAATTCAGCAACATTTAAAAAGGAGCAGTGTAGTTCATTTGGGGTGATAATTGTTTTTACAGTAGCCCAACAGAAAAACCCTACACTGGCCCTTGGAAGGGCCCTTCATGTTTTTGTGCTACACTAAAAGAGAGACAAGTGACTTAAACAGTAGTACATGAATGGAAGAAATGATTATGCCTTTAGGAGTCGTTGAGGGGCGCCTAGATTTTAAAAAGTTCCATCGGAAGACCTCCAGCACTGTATTACAGCAAAGTACTGCTCACGGTTCAAACCGCTCTCAAAAACGAAGACGAACAATCGCACCAAGCTCTACAGGCCATTTCTCCCCATTTCATAAGAAGTTATGGCAATGAAATAATGAGGAACTTCATGTCATCCCATAAACTTAAGAGTTACGGAGAAGCTATGTGCCCTGAGCAGAATCCGCCTGCCGACTGAAGCGAACTCTGACTGAAGCACATGATCAGTCGTGGACAGAATGCAGACTGGCATTTAGAATTATGAAACACATCGTCATATTTGAAACTGCACCACTGGTGTTCTGCATGAGACAGAAAGTCTTCAGTGACTTACTTGAGCAGACTGTCCGTCTCACTCAAACACGAGCCCCCGGTTCAAGTAAAAGGGACCAAGACAGTTAGTGGTTATGTCCACGATGAAACATCAAACTATTGACACATCACAAATGGCAAATATTTCAAATTCCCAGCTTAACGACAACTGATCGCAGCCACTTCCAAACCTTCCCAAAGACTTTGCAGCTGGTGCTCGCTGGTCTGTGGATCACCGGATTTGGATGTTCTTTTAAAACATAAACAAGTCAAAATAATAACCAGCTGGTGGAACTGGTTGAAAAATCCTCCATGTCTATAAAGAAACCAAGGCCGTAAACATGGAAAAAAAGGGATCCCTTATCTTGCCTTTCTTGAGTTGATTGGAGTGTGAAATCACAGCATCAGGATTGAGAGTCCAGCATAGTTAGCTTTGTCCATATAATTAATACACTGGATAAAGGGGAGGGAGGGTGGAAGGGTGGGGACCCTGCAGCGTCCTCGCAGTACAGTCCAACACTGAGCAAAGAAAATAGATCTGTACAATCTGTTTGTTACTCAAAAGAATATGTCGTCATTTGAAGCAGTTATTTTCATTTGTGTGGAGAGGGAAACCGTGTAATGGATGTTCACCCGGTTTAGATATATCCATATATAACAACATGTGTACACACAGTCGAAAAGTAGTTTCTCTTCCTTTCCTCCAATATTATGACAAGATTGTTGGTTAAAAGTTTTCCCTTTTTCACAAAGGAGGAGCCACGGAGTCAGATAAGGGAGTGCCTCTCCTGGATGATAAGAAGCAACATACACTGGACTACTACCACCGGGGGTCTTCAGGGCCAAAAGCCAGCTCCAATGTATGGAGCGTAGTGCCGGGAGGCCCTCATCACATCCGTCAGTATTGGTGGAGCGTTGCATATTCATTAACAAACGGGCAATTGAATAAATTACCACATTCCAAGTGTCCCACATAGTGAACCTGGGATGGGTGGATAATCCAACCTTGTCTGGACTTGAGGTAAACGTCTATGATCTAGTAATAGTAGACACCAGCGTGGTATCAAAGGAAAACTGATATTTGGAGAAACCTGCTTCAATGTTGAGTAGCATCAGAGGAGATCAAAATCAATCATCATTTAAGCTCCTCCAGTACAGAGCGTAGCCTGTGTTAGCACAACGCAGAGGGGGACCTGAAGTAGAAAAAAACACTCTAATAACATGGAGCTTTTCTCGTCTCAACTCAGTCTGGCTTAGTGACAGAATTTCCTGAGAAAAAAAAAAAAAAAAGAGAAAAGAGGGATTGAAGAGCGTCAAATCCAGTCCTATCTCTAGAAAAAAATATTCATGTATCACTGCAATTCCATAGCGTTTCCATGGCAGCAACACAACCCTAAACGCAGACACAGCTCAAGCCATCAGAAGCTCGGTAAAACCGCGTCGTACTGATAATAGAAATAAAATCCCCTGGCAGTCTGACTTGTAGTGGTACTTTCTACACAGCTGATAGTTGCTACTGATATTAGCCATATCCCCACTTTGTGAGAAGCTAGGATAAAAAAACACGTTCAAATCGTCTGTCAGCAGTAGTACACTCGGGATCCGTCTCGTCACTGTCCAGTCGCAGGGCAACGGCTTGTTTCCTTCAAGCCCCTCTCGTCTCTTCCTCCGTTCCTACATGCAGACTCACCAGGAAGTTCTTTCTGCTCCATTCTTTGAGTCACGGCGAGTGGGGGAATCTAAAGTAGTGAAGGTGCAGGTCCAGTGTACGTGTGTGGATCAGAGTTTGTGTGCAGTGAGTTGCTTTGTGTCTGCGTGTTTAGTTGTCAGGATGGGGGGAGGAGGGGGAGGGTCGGGGTTCCAGGTCATGCGTTGGACATCTCGGCCTTGCTGAGGGCAATGGCCAGCTCCAGGTCGTCCTGCTCCTGCTGCCTGAGCCTCTTCAGCCGCTCGCGCTCGGCTCGCTCGCTCTCTCGTTTTGCCCACTCCAGCTGCTGAGCCTCGTTCCCAAGCTAGAGAGAGAGGCGGACAATTGAGAAATAATCAAAATAAATAAGGTAAATTGGAATTTTGTGTTCACATGTGAGGTTCTAAAATTTAGTGGAGATTATCTGCCAATAGGAATCATCAAGGATCTGCAATTAAGTGTTGGCGGGAAAAAAGAATAACATCACAAAAATGCATCCGTGGCAGCACTGCATCCCCTGTCCTCCCTGTCTTGGACGTCAGTCTGCAGTGCTGATAAATGTCGATGGTTTGAGGGGCGGGACAGTTATAGTCTCATGACAAGCATGTGGGCGGGACTGAACCGCACATCACTGTCACATCAAATCATGGGAAGATTAAATGTTATGTAAAATAAGTTTGGCAATTAAAAAAAAATAATTTATATATATATATATATATATATATTAAAATATAATTAAATAAAAAATTGGACTAAGAATAGATCATGGAATAGCAGAAGACATTGAGAGCAAAAACCTTTTGAATAAGTATAGTGCCAACTAAAACTGGACTAAAGCTAAAATCGCTGTTGGCTAGAATTAGACTAAAGCGAGCAAACTATGACGGATAAAGCTAGTGAGCATTTTCAGACCTCAGCTGCTTTCTACTTACAAGGACAACAGTGAGTAGGAAAATATATGCCTGTTTTAGGTTTACGGAGGAAGGTTATGAAGAAAGCTCTTAAATATCAAGCACGACCTTTTATTATAGTAGTATAACAATCTGTTTACACTCGTGACTTTAGTTTTCTGGCGTACTATTGTAGTATGGACGGAAATCCTTTAGAAGGTGGTTTCTGATAAAAAGGCCCGGCTTTAAAAGAGGAACAAGTGTGTTTGTAGCCTTGAGTTCTATCGACTCAGTGGCCACTTTATTAAGCACACCTGTTAAATATGAATGCGATCCAATACAGCAGCTCAGCAACAAAATCCACTTTTAGTAACATACTTGGGTTCAATTGTGATTGAAACCGACTGCTGGAGCTGCTTAGCTGGACTTCATTACTCTGTTTACGCATGAGTAAAAATATCTTTGTGCTGGATAGAATTAGACTGAATAGGCCCTCAGAGACCAGCAGGTGACTTAATAAGACAGTTTAAAAAAATTTCAACATGTAAACAAAAAAAACCAAAACGGTGTATTCCATCTATTTAGTGCAATGTTTATTTTGATCAAACGTGGATATTGCTAGTGTACTTAGTTTAAAATGATACGGAATGGGTGGCAGTAATGAGTCAGAGGGACCCCAGCAGCCACCATGTAAAGCATGTGTGCGTCTGCCATGAGTGTTAAAAAAAAACGTTTGTTTGGTGTGAAGTTCACTGCGTGCTGGCTTACCTTGACTTTGTCCGGTCCTGTCAGAGAGGTGGAGCACAGAACAGAGGTATTATAAAGCTGCTGCAGTACGTACAGGACACCACATCAGACACGTGAAGGGGACACCTGCTCTGCTTCGGCTCAGCACGCCGTCTTCAGCTACTTCTCATACTGCAGGCGTCAGCCTGCGCGCCAATTCGTGTTATTTGAAGTGAGCTGTGATGCTAACGCTCTAAGATGGGGGGGCGTGAAACAGAAGGTCTGGTGAATCCCTTCACGTGCTGACCAACAACAGCTGGAGCTCAAGGAAAGCCCGGCTGAACAATAGCACCAAACTGAATTGTTAACACAAACACGAGGAATGGTAAAAAGTGGGATTGCCGTTATTATCATCGTGCTAGCAGTGAGATAGAACGAGCAAGCAAACATTCATACTGGGACATACTGGGTTTAAACAGGACTCCCAGAGTGTGTGTTCACGTTAGCTTGTGCAACTAGAATACCACATCTCAGTGGGAGTGTTAAAGGCCTTGAGCTTTAAATAATCAATAATAATATGTTTGCAACGGCTCAAATGAGATGATTTTGTGGGTGTAGACTGAATGTTTAAATGCTTCATCAGAGCTCTTTGAATGACATGCAAAATGCATTTCTAAGGGTTATTACTACTTTTGTATCTGAGGTCCCATGAAAAACAAAGCAGATCAAGGATGAGTAAGCGTCACAGTGCACTCTTAGAAAGTTCAGAGCCAGTGCAGTTTTGCTTTTGGGGAATCCTTATGAACAGGTGTTTTAAGTTCTCTGTACGTTCTAGGGGAACCAAAAACCTGTTGAGCACAAGTCAAAGCAGCCCATGGGGTTCTAGTGGGCACTTTTATTCCTGAGAGTGTGGTGTTGAGATAAACAAAGCGACCTAATAGGACATGCGGAACAAGAACAGACAGCCGAGTTAAAGCAGAACAACACAAACACGCTCAGTTGAGTGGGGATACTGCTGTGTCTCGGGTGAATACGATCAGCCTAATCGTTGAATTGAGTTGCTGCAGTCAGACTGTGTCTGAAGGGTGTGTGTGTGTGTGATTAGGAATCAGGTGAGCATGGAGAATATATGACAGTTAGTGAAGCTAAAGCAGGGTGGAACCTCGTCCTGTCTTAAGTTATTCCATTGTTACGTTCATATCGTAGGTGTGTGAGCCTACATCATATCATACTTTAACTTAACCATTTCAGAATTTTAGTTTGTTTTCTATAATTAATTCAAGAAATATCATGCTGTAAAAAATATTAAATAATATATTCATATTGTAACAAGAGGATTTGAAAAACACTATATATTTAGCAATATTACGCAGCCTTTGCGGTGTAAATAAATGTGTGTTGTGTTCTACTAACAAAGCCATTGATACTCTATCAGCTTAGTATTAAAATGCAGACTGTATCTGGATACATTCTGTTATAATGTAATTTAAATAAAGTTTTATTTGGCATAAAAGGTAGAAACATTAGGAATATTTTCTGGTTCTCTATCTGACCGTGTTCCTCTGCAGTTATGTGGTTATACACAAACATGCCTTTCTTAACAGGATCCAAGATGGGAGACGAGGTCATTGTTTTAAAATTAGTGTTCGGGCTCCTACCCGGTAACGCGATGTGTAAAGTCATACAGCGTTGACGGAGATGCGTTCTCTAAAAGGGACATGTGGCCCGCTGAGCCCACTGGAATGGGAGTGTAGTGACTGTGCAGAGCAGCAGGACCTACAACAGTATCACCCATCTCAACTTACAGAACTGAAGTCTACAAAACCCGAGGCAGGCTCCTTAGGGTCTTTACTTGATGCCGAGGACGGGGCGAAGGGGTCTTTGCCGCTGAACGGGTCTCCCGGGCCCTTTTTACTCTGAAAGGGGTCGACGGCGTCCCCGCCAAACGGCTGGAAGGGGTCGCACGGTTTGGAGGGGTCCGCTGTGCTCACGGGTGTGCTTTTACCTGAAGACAAGAGACAAGAGGTAAGCATCGTCCCAGGAAGACACTTTAAGTGGGTCGTTTATTTTTCAAACCACACCGACCAATGCTTGCTGCATAAAACAGCTACGTGTTTACAGGAGACAGAACAATAAGCGCCCAAAAGTCCACTCTTGTCAACGTGGACGTTGGAAGCAGAGTGGGAGAGACAAGCCACCGGTTTCATCCCGGGCAGCTGTTGTGTTACAGCACGACAGCTGCATCCACGCAGAAAAACGTTCAGGTTTCAGAACGCGGTCCGGTAAAGAGGAACAACCAATCACAGCCCGCAGATGGCTTTTTGTTTCTCCTGTGAATATCCTTCTACGCTAAATATGTAAAGGATACCTACATCATTACGATATCTACCGAGGCAGGTGCACAAGCGTCTTTGACAAAAGGAGGTAGGGGCAGGGCCGGTGTGTTCCGTGATCTTACACCCAACACGTGAACTAAGGCGCTAGTGGGAAGGACACAGGAAAGGTGCTTCTGGGATAGCAGAGCAACCATCTGTTTAGTGGTGACGAAGACATGCTGGGAGAAGAACAAAAACATGTTACATCACAGGCTTCAGGTCTCGCGTATCTCAAGAGGAGGCAGAAAACAAAGTGCATGTGTTCACTGATAGATGGGAGATATAATGACTCGGCACTTTGTCATGCACAAATAATTTTCGCCTCAGTGAACTATTCTGATAACGCATGATCTGACACACGCACACACACACACACACACACACACACACACACACACACACACACACACACACACACACACACACACACACACACACACACACACACACACCTAGTTCTCATGGCTGCGCCCCCGCCCTGCTTCCCTGCCGCTGTCACCTCAAAGATACCGAGCAGCTTTTGAAAGCCACACGAGTTTCACCTCCACACGCGGCAAACCAAAGCTGTTTACATCCAACACGGCGTCTTTCACGTGCGGCACTGACATCCTCCGCTGGGTAGGAAACAACACACAGCCAGAGGACAGCGATCAAAAAAGATACCCACAAGCCCAACGGCTTCCTGGTGAAACACTTGTGCCCACATTACCAACTGTTGGTTCACCAACTCGACAGATTTCTCTTCTCAGAGCACAAATTCACATTCATGGTAAAAGACCACGCTGATCTATTAATGCTACGTGGACCCGTTGAATATGTTCAGCAAAATGATAGAAGATCTCAACTTTAGAATAGCATCTAAATTGAACCCCAAAATATTTAGTTTTAGTTAGTGTAGTTTATTTTATTAGAGAAGAAAACCAGAAAGTTCTCCAGGGCTGAGGCTGAACACAACCGCGTTAATGTTTTTTTCCAAATGACTTCAACAGTTTATCAAATCAAAAAGGGGAAAAGCATAGAAGTGCATTCTTTATGGTTGGGATTATACGGGTTCCAAACGGACTTCTTGCTAAAGGCCTGAGGTAACGTTCGTTTCAAGGGTTCCATTAAGAACTTTTTAGATCCAGAGCACTTAAGTTCTCCATGCGTTATTGAAAGCACGATGTCAATAGAGAACGGCCACAATGCAGACCACAACCCAGCCAAAACAGTAATGGCGAACCATGACTGTTGTGGGTTGCAACTCTGGAGTTCTAGATGAGCGAATGTTCCTGCCTTGACATTCATCTGTCGGTTTTCAGATATCTACTATTGCATTACTCCTACTGAGACCACAAAGATCTGCCTGAAGTGTGAACACTCTGGGATTTGCAAGAACATAACAAAATACATCTAGTTTATCCGGCCGCTGGTTCAATCCCAACATTATAGAGTCATGGTACGTCGGTGTCCTTTATTGACAGAGGCTAGAAACTGACCCTGGCAGAGGAGCGTGGGAACGTTAAGAGGACACCATGTTGCTTGTAAAGGTGTTAAAACCACAGGATCATGCACATTTAGCTCTTTTACCCAGATACCTCGGCCAACCGGGGTGAGCGGTTCATTTCACACCCCACGCTGAGAGAAACTGCATGCCTGGCAATCAGTTTTTTCCTCTTTCGGTAAACTGCACGCGCACACACTCGAGAAACCACAAACGAGCTCCACCCTGTTGTACAATAATCTACTGCATCAGTGGCATCAAAGTTTAATGGCTATCACAGGATTCTATGTGAATTATTACAGCTGCTGAAAACAACACAGCTACTGGGCCAATCTCAACTTATTATTTGTAGCAGTTAATCGCTGCACACGTTCACTCCGCTTGGCGTGATGGGAGAAAGTAACCGTCCATGCATGTTTGTGCACGTGTGAGAAGGCAAGTCAAATAAAAGATAAAGCATATCAAGATACAGTTTGCATGTTAATACCAAGCTAAGACCAGGTATAAATGGTACCCTTTTAGCCTGACCTTCTATGCACCGCTGAGTCCCACACACACACACACAAAAAAGAGAGGAAGCTGGTTTGGGTGTGTCTGCAAACAACAGGCCAGGCAAACCACATTATCACTCTTACAACATCACTTTTATGTGTGCCTACACACAAACACACAAACAATCATGAAATAAAGGTCCATATGAAAACCCAAGTGAACGTGAGCCTGATTGACAGCTGCAGGACTTTAACAGGCTACGCCCTCCTTAGCCCCCTTCTACCACCACAGACGCCGCTCAGCGTGCAGTCCTGACGTGCCATGTTGTTCCAAGTGGATTTTGAAGAAGTTCCTTAATGTCAGTGCACAATGCATACAAATAAATATACACTTCCCAACCTTTGACTGGTACTGCATATCTAGTGAAACTGCATGGCATGTCAACGCGTTACGATATCGTTAACACAGTAATTAGCGCCACAATTATTTTATTGCGCACTACTTCAGTTTCTTTTAATCATTATTACTTTGAAAGTCGGGGCCTCGGTGACCTCACACACACAGTGAGGGTGCGATGTTAATGGGTGTTGGCTCTGGAGGGGCGTCATCATGCGTCTTAACCAATGACAGCATTTAGGGGGCGGGATGAACCCCAAGTAAGGTACAGACTGTCAAGTGTACATTTTAATATTTAATGTCTTGCAGATGGCCGAGTTAATAGAACCAAATTTATTAAGAACCACGTTTGTTGTGTTTTTAAATAGATGTGAGAACAAGCTGCTCATAAGTAACTCACCCATGCCATTCTCCCCCCACCCGAATTCCCCCGGGTATTAAGTCCCTCCATGCACCGCTTTCTATAAACATCAATGTACCAACATACATTTATAACAAATACTCCTGAACAGAGACTCCTTGATGAAAGAACAATGTTTCCGTTCGGAGAAAAAAATAAAAAAGGATTTACAAAAGTTAACATTATAACAGCACCTTCGGAGCAACAGCAAGTCAACTGTTTTTCTATAAACAACTAGATAAAATGTTAAGTGCCCCAGTAGTGGCAGAAAGCTTTGGTTTTATGTTGAAAGTAAAATGTACATAAATATTTTAACTGCTACCGGGTAAAGGGAATCCTGTGATTAAAATCCTTATTTAAAGTGTAACGAAATGTAAATAAAAGTGCGCAATACACTTTTTTTTTTAAATTAACCATTTCATTTTGTGATTAGCTGCAGAAAATTCATGCAATTAATTGTGATAAAAATTGTAATCGACCAGCACTAAATAAAACATAATTTATGCTGCCTGCAAACTTGCATTATTGAATTTTGTATATAGTGTCTTTCTGTGGTGTGTATCATTTGATACGTATGCACCACGCGTTTCATTTAGGTAGATAAATAAAATCAATGTATTTATCTAAAGATGAGACGGAAATTAATTGAAAAGATGCTGGAATGAAGTTGGTGCGAACAACGGCGCTGGTGAAATGCAAACATCTAAAGCCACAAGACTCGCTATTGCCAGTGAGACAGGATGGAATGAGGCATGTCAGAGCGCAGCGTGTGACAGCAATGACTTCTGAACTCCTCCGTGCCCACACTCAGTCCTTCCTGTTTACACAGCAGAGCAGTTTCAAAAATGAAAAAAAAAAAAAAAAAAGAAGTACTTTTCATCAGCGCCATACACTATATTGCAGGCTCCATTCAAAAAGGTCCTTTATGCTGTGATCAAATTGATTGTCTTTTATTTAGCATTGCACTTTAAACGCGTTTCAAGGTAACTTTTATTTCTGAGATATCTGATCTATTTTTAATGCCTGAAAAGAAACAAATGTAAAAAGAGAAAAAAACATTTTAACGTCTCCATTTTGACTTTTTAAACTCTTAATAAAGGAGACTTTTGTCCCGTAAGTGTGTCATTACAATTTTTGTTGTACCAGTGCAAATCTAATTTTAATAACCTCAGACATAACCTGGAGCCCAGCTCCACTGTACTAGAGAGAACAATACGAGACATTCAAAGCCATTCAAGACAGATCTGAGAGCCCGCGGAGTGGGACACTCACCAGTGGGGGGTTTGGGCCTCGGGGGGACACTTTTCTTTGGTGGCAGAGCTGGCATGTCGTTCTTTCTGCCGAACGGGTCGTCCACAAACGCCGCCTGCAAAGCGGAACATCATGTGGTTGATTGTCAACGCCCCAATCGGCGGAACAACTGAACGAATAATGGCATCAGGATACACTTCAACTTATCAGTTTAGATAAATAAAAAGACTTTATACCTTCTGGTAGTCAGGCAGCCAGCCGGCCCTGCCTTCAAAAGGGTCTCGGGGTTTTGACATGAGGCTGAAGTCTGCAAATCCAGCAGAGTTGTTGCTGCTGCTGCTGCTGCTGCTGTTGAACGAGCTGCTGCCGAAAGGATCCAAGGTACCGAACAGGTCTGAGGAAGAAAATAAGAAAATCCTCACGTAGGGATCAGCTAACTTAAAGTGTTCAGAATGGTTGGGACCCCCGCTCTTCTACTTCAACACGTTTGATACCATAGCTGACTCATACACACGGCGGATCAAAAGCATGGCATTCGCCTGAGAGCGACCAACGCAATCCGATGCATCACAAACTGCAGCAAAGGTGCCCAGAGAGGGCGACCTGCTGGCCCGGTGCCCCCTGCGGGGTCCAGTCCAACACTCAAAATACATTTGTAGTAAATACGTGGAGGGAAATCCCCACCAGGCACTTAAATGGATTGTACGGCCGGGAGGTCAGTGACCTTTCCCCCCCAGACTCTGATCCAGTTATGCTGGAGTCCAGCTGGACGTTTGTGACACAGTTGAGGAGTCTTCCCCCGTCGTTCCTGAGCTATCGTTTTCCCGAGGATGGACAGACAACCCAAACAAATAAACGCAGACGGCATAAAAAACTGTTTTGGGCCAAACGTATGGCTTTGCTCTAGAAATGATGATTTCGGTCAGTTGAGTCACCTCTCCGGTCCAAACTGGAATATCTCAACAATGACTGAATCATATGAACTTTTGGTGCAGATATCGAAAGTTCCCAATCAATTAAAACTACTCACTTTAGTGATTTCCTGGCTGTTCTTCCAATGAGGAGGAGATTTGTGAATTAAGTGCACACACATTTTTTATCGATTGCCAATAAAATGAACGAGCAAATGTTGACATGGTAACCAACTAACCCATTAACTAGAATGGTGAAAATAGTCAACTTTAATCGTGCTAAACTTCAGTGTGTTGTCATCAACACAGTAAGCATTCTAGTATCAAGCATTTATGGCTTTCTGTAGCAAGTACAAGAACATTTTATGTATGGCAGAATCAAGAGCTGACCACGCATCCGTTATGATGGTGTTCTTCAGCAGCAACAGGCCTGCTTACGGATTAAGATTCTACGTTACCGTTTTGACCTTAATGACAGCCCATTCAAGTTCAGCTCATTTGGACTGACCGGAGTCAGCGTGGATGCTGCGTGGCTGGATTTGAAGTAATATGGACAGTCTGAGTCGGGAAGTGGGAAAGCAAACGTGACACCTTCCCTCTCCAGACGCCGTTTGAACAGGCAAACCAACACGGTAACCTCAGGCTGAGCAAACAGGGGCCCCGGTGTGGTGACAGGCTCCAGTTTCCTCCAGTCACTGAGGCATTCTAGACGACCCACAACGTGCATGTGTTTGTACGGACTACACGGATATCTTGGAGGAAATTAAAGATCTTTTTTTCCTGCTGAGGTGAACAAACAACTGATGCACTGACTGACGTCAGATATTCGTTCGTTCAAGAGTCACACCACCGCAAAACCAACCAAGTCCCTGCCAGAGACAGAAAGATGCCGCAGAAGTGACTCCAATCTAACCTCAGAATAGAGCTGGGAAACTGTTGAACCAAGATTCACCACGGCCACTGTGACTTTAATACCGATCCATCATGAAGCCAAGTAGGAAATGCTGCAAATCAACGAGCAAGACATTTCATGGCTCATCATCAACATTTCATTCCTCTTTTTTGATGTGAAAAAAGCGGGAGGCGCCGAAAAGCGCGTTGTTTGTATCCCTGTGAATTTCAACACTATGTCGACATTCATTGTAGATGTGAGGGAATACAGAAATAAACCATACCTGGTCCTTTGGGTTTTGGGTTGCTTGAAGGGAATGGTTCATTGCTTGTGAAGTGACTGGTTTGCTGCTGGAAGCATAAGAAGATTGAATGAAACATGGACTGTATTATTATTATTTTACAGTCTTTAGACCACTCAAAGCGCTCCTACACTACATCTCTTCATTCACACACCGATACACAGATGACCACAATAGGCAAAACCAAACTCTCGGACAAAGAAAACCTGAACTCAGTTTGTCATTGTTGGCTTGTTTGAATCATTACCAATGTCATCTGAAAATCTGTAGACGTGAATTTAAAATTATATAAACTTGGTAATGTAAAACGTGCACACACAGCCGTATCCAAACCAGCTCTGTCTAACCCTGATCCCCATTTAGAGACTGGGATACTTTCTCTGGAGAGCCACAGACGTTACTACAAGTTACACACTATTTGGTGTTGACACGGATTCCAAAAAAGATAATGAAAGTCGACCCTGACAACAAACCTTGCATCACAAAGGAGGTGAGGGACTGTATCAACAGGAAAAAACAGGCATTCAAGAACAATGACCACCTACGAGTAAAACTGTACAAAAGGAGTTGAACCGGAGGCTGAAAGAAGCTCGGGAAGGCCACAGAGGAAAGCTTCTAGTCCATGAACTCTTATAACTATGACCACAAATATGAAAAACGCTTACATGTGGTAGATGAACTGGCTGAAGCAAATGTTACAAGCAATGGCTTCTCTGCTGAATGCCACATGGTGCTTGATGGTATTGCTAAAGGATGTTGACAAGCTAGAGATTGAACATAAATCCAATCAATTTTAACAAGGACACAGGTCCAAATGGTATCGCTGCTTTATTAAAAACAAATTGGCAGCAGCCCGTTGCCCCCCTTTCACGAGGTCCCTAAACTGTCACGCTGTACCAACACAATGGAAAAAGGCATCACACATCCCCCCAAAACCTGCCCACAGGAGAATAATGACTTTAGACCTATTGCTTGAACCTCTGTTGTTAGGAAGTGTATAGAGAAGCTCATAGCTCTCTATGTCATGTTAACGGAACATTTTGCCTCTGCACTAAGCTCTAGGCCCGAGCATGTGATTAGCTCAACTAACACTGAGGATCATAAGTACGAGTTTACGTACGGATTGCGAGAGATCGCTCTGTATGGGTCTATGAGAAGAAACCAAATAGAACCCGTGCAGCCTGGGGATCACTCTGGTGTTGGCGCCAGCTGGAGCCTGACATCGAGGCGGAGGCCCTAGCTGGATGCCTAATGGTTTGCACACACACAGCAGAGAGGCACCGTTGATGCAACAGTCAGTACAGTGACTAAAGGACAGACTATTGTTTGTAGATTTCAGTTCAGCCTTTAACACCCTGCAGCCTCATCTTCCCCTGAACACACTGCAGAGGATGAATGTTAACCCCCTCATTACCAAGAGGCATCACTCATTCCTCACCAACCGCACCCAGCACGTCAGAAAAGGGTCAGGACCTTGTTGTCCTTGTTAATTACATGATAAAGTTCTGTTGATACAGCCGTCCTGGGTCTAATGTCCGATACATCAGATACAAACTGTATACAAACAGATTCAGAACTTTGTAAAGCGTTGAGACAATGTATCTTACCTACACACTACACTACGGGTGTGTTCTACGACAGGCAGCGTGAGACGATGTGTTGGCTGGTGACAGTTTGTGGATGGACTGTGTGCTTGTTGTTGTTAGCATTATTAAACAGCTGACACTGTCGGCCTCCTTTGGAACACTTAAAATCTGAAAAGTACCTTGGAAGGCAATGTGGCACTTTTACTGAAGGGGTCTGGTGAGGAGAAGGGATCCATCTTTGAAGAAGTCTTCTTGAAGAAGTCTTCTGATGTGGCCTTAAAGGGATCAGTCTCTTTGAACGGGTCTCCTCCAAAAGGATCTGCAGCGGGAAACAAGCGGGAATCAGCTTCCCACTGAAGCCTTTCTTAAAACCTTTCAACCAACCAGAGAACAAGACAAGGCATCCTGCAGACAGGTTACAGGTAATGCCTTGTGATAGGCACGAGGAATACTCCACATTGAGTGCAATCAATGAGGTACCAGCTGTTAGTTTGCCTCTGCACTAAACGAACACTGTGGATCCACTGAGAAGTCGCCAATTGAAAACCCACCAGCAGCACATAATAACTTGAAGGGTATTCAAGTTATTAGGTTCCAGCACACAATTTCCCCTTCTGCCCACAAACATGACTTGTTTATCTGCTGATGTTATGGATTGGTTTGGAAATTTGACAATAAAATGAGGTGTTTTGTTTTTACACTGAGTGGGCAGAGTAAAACCTTTAGGAAAAGGACGTGTGCTGGAGTAGTTTCACTGCTGTGTGAAAAGGGGAGATTTCAATCGCTGATCTCGTGTGATCCACTGAGAAGAGAAGTGAAACTCCACAATATCGCTGAAGGGGGAAGTGGGGCAGAAGGCATGGTTGCACACGCTGCCTTTTCACATAAGTGGAGGGACGTTGGTTAAGGCACCGGCTGTCAAGGGGGGTTCTTTGAAGGTTAGGACACAATGTATCAAATAACTGCTTTGTTGGATTCTGAAGCAGAGCACCAGAATACACTAGTTTACTTCTATTTTTACATTTGAATTTACCTTGTGCATGTTACAATTACTAACACGACAGAAAGAACTTACATTTACTTCATGATTACATGTGTTTTTAAAGGTCAGGGGAGAATATCGCACAGGTGCTTTAATAAGTTGGCGTTTTGCAGCACTATTGGATTATAAGGTTAAAGTCAGCGCAACCATGTACGAAAAGGTGGATTGAGAGCAGACAAACTACTTTATGTATAAACCCATGGACACTAAACAATGATTTGATAAATACTAATATTAAATATATTAGACAATGAACAATGCAGTCAACACATGCTGCTGCGTGTCCCCCTCCCAACTCAAAGTACCTGTGGAAGTTGGTGGCTGCTTTGCAAAAGGGTCATGTTGGAAAGGGTCCGCTGAAGGAGAGGAAAACACACGGGACAGTTAGAGAGCAACTCAAGCTAAAAAACAACAGAAGCCGCGTGGAGCAGAAAGCAGACTGAAGATTAGGCGGAGTAATCACAGGGACTAAAGCGAGCAGCACCTTTGAAGGGGTCTGTTTTGAAAGGGTCCTCAGAGTGGAAGGGGTCAGTGTGGAGCTCCTGAGGCTGGCTGTTGAACACGGGCGGCTTCACTTTGAATGGATCCTCCTATGTTGAGGAGGAAATACACAAGGTATGGGTCATTAACGATCCCGTCCAGTCGGCCCGTCACTACGCATGTGTGCAGCATTAAGAGGCGCTTTGGCCTTTCAAGGAGCAGTTCTTCTCACAGGCTGTCTGAGACCGAGGTGTGTGACCTTCAACCCGCTAAAGGCAGAGGTCACTAACTGGTGGACCCAGAAGACGTCCCATCCAGACCAAAGCTAAAAAGAAAAAGACTGTTGTGATTTAAATGTGCCGTGACTTTTTGACCGGCGCAGCTTTGGTCGTCTTTACAGCAGTGGCTTAAAGCACAGACCTATTGCATTCGAGTTAAACCATCCCACGTGATACTACTCGCGTCTTTGCATTGCAGGCCGGCCTTAGCAACGAGCTCACGGGATGAGAACCAGGGGGGGAATCACGCATACTGAAGGCCCTATGGCGTGTACAGGTCTCTGGCCCAGTACATAACCCGGCCCTGCATAATGGCGTGTTGTGTTGCACACCATTGAGTTTAAGGAAATGTCTTTTCTAGTCTTCTGACCCGTCAAAGTGTGTTTGCATCATTCACCCATTCATACACTGATGACACAGTGCCACCTGCCCATGAGCAACCAACAGCTGTAAAACATTTGGGTTAAGCGGCACACTGGCATAAACCAGAGGAAGCAGGAATCGAATCATCTGGTTGGAGGACCTGCTCGCCACGGACCTACAGTAAAAAGGGGGTTGTTGTGATTTGTGAAATGAATTGAGGTTAACAGTCAAATGTCTTTCTTCTGTCTGGGCAGTAAAGCTTTGGGTGCATGTACCTCAGTATTCTCCTGTAACCTCTCATCAGGTGACCGATCCAGGCCGTGCCCTCGGCCTTCTGTTCACACTAAGTCCACCAAAAGTTGTAATAAAACACAATTATCCCCAAACTATTTCCCACTTGGAGCAAGAAGTGCTGGAATCAACCTCAAGAGCTATTTTATAAGAATGTCCAACGAGAGCCCTGATTATAGCCCCTGTGCACACACACACACTTTCCCTTTAAAAACAGAGATTTTCTTGCGGCCAGGAGGAAGTCTGGACTGCAGCATTCCTCAGAGTGCGTTCTAGTACATTTCTTCAGGTGCCGGGCTCTACCTTGTTACGGTTCATTAGGAGACCCTGGGCCCGATGCACCGTCAATGCAGAGAGCTTCCTTACTGTGAGGGAGAAAATGATAATGGCCGAGGTTGGGCGAAGACACGGTTGAAATGGCAGAAGAGAAGTGGACATGCTGACTGCTGCGGAGCTACAGTCTAGATGATGATGGTCCTGCGCGAGGAGGAGGAGGGAGGAATAGTGGAACCCTCAAAAAAGCTGAAATCAAAAGCCTGTTTGCAATTTTGAGAAGGGAATTTATCCCTTATCAGCATTACAAGTAAACTAACGTGGTTGGCTGAAATAAATATTTTGACTCAAATTACTGTCTGGCACCTGCAGCCGTTAGTGAATCAGTTGCAGTTAACATCCATGTCTGTCCACATCACTTCATCAGGGAGAAGACAGAGAGGCCCTTTTGTGCTGGAGGTCCTGACCTGTGCCACTCTCACCATGGCGGGGAACCCCCCGTTCTCTCTGCTGCTGAAGCCCTCGCTCATGTCGGCCAGGTTGGTCATGCTGCCTCCGTGGGTTCCGTTCAAAGTGCTGTTGTACTGCTCGATGCTTTTGGACACTTCCTGTTGGCTGTCCTGAATCTGGGACAATTTGCTACGAGCCTAAAGGGGAGGGACACACACAGGTGAGTGACAGCAGAACGTTTGGATACCACGCTGCATGGACCTTTGTTGTGGGCCGCCGGCTAGAGTTAAACTTCTCATTTTAGCTGAAACACTTTAAGGTTACGTTAAAAAAAAAGACAACCAGCACATACTTGTTGAAAGGTGCAGTCTGAGTACAATCTCAATGAGTTACACACAATATGCTGTGAATTTAGTCCATCAATTATTGGTCATGTATGTAAGCACAACTTACAATAGAAACCAGCCTAGAAGTCAAGATTGCTCACCTCTCTGTGACCTTTGTAGGGAGGGAGCAACAGCACATTACAGATAAACTGAGGGTAAATGAAACTCCTCTTGTGGTACACGGGGCCCAAATACTGGATTATACAGTGCAACGATGCCCCCTGCTGACACTTCTCACACAGGTTTGCTACCTGGTTGATCTCGTCCTGCGTTGCCTTTAGGGACTTGATGATGGTCTCCAGTTGGATCTTGCCCGCGGTCAGGCTCTGCTCTAGCTGGTTCTCCTCCTGTTGCAGCCGGCCCAGGTCGGCCTTGGCCCGGCTCAGCTCCTCCTCCTGGCTCTGCAGGTCCGTCTCCTGACAATGTATCTGACTCTGGAGGGTCGATATCTGGAGGCGCAGGAGAGCAAAATCAACGAGTGACAAGCAAGCTTTTGAACGGCCGAACGTACAGCACGCCGGTGTCGCCCAGGGCTACGTTTTGATTATGAATCCTCAAAAGAGGACCCGGGAACCATAACGGACATTTCTGCAGCTGCAGTGGCTGTTTAAAGAGAACTACAGGGGAGGATGGCGCTTTGTCAAATAAATACCTCATTACTGAAAGATTAATACATAAATAAAATAAATAATGAAAACTTAAATGTGCAAGAACAATAGTGGAGAAAAGGTAAGAAGAGCCCAAGAATTATTGCAGTAGGTGCGTTTGGTTCTGCACTCACCATCTGAGACTCCTCCTGGCACTTTATCTGCACTTCGTTCAGCATGTCCTCCAGCTTGTGCTTCTGCTGGTCCATCTCCTCCAGGCGGTCCTGGGCATCTTGTTTCTGAGCCTCCAGCTCCTGCAGGCTGGCCGTCTCTCTGTCTAGGTCATTCTGCATCTCCTGAGGGGACAAAAAAAGGACAAGAAGCCTGTGAAGGACAAACACGTACCAGAGCTAAGAATAAGGAGCGAGTAATCTGCACGCACCTGCACCTCGGCACTCTTGTGTCTGATGGCCTCCTCTGTATCCCTGATGTCTTGCTCCAGAGTGTACTTCTCCCTGACACACACACACACACACACACACACACGAAGAACCAGACCACTGCTGTGAACACATGGACATGTCGAGTGTCACAATGTTTCTGTGCGAGACATTCTATAGATATAAGAATCCCCTTTTAATGTATTTGAAATTGATCATTTGTAATTGCAAAAAGGGGCTTTTAACAATATTTCCACACTTCGAGATTCAATTGCGATCGACTGTTGGTCGCTTAAAAAAATAATTTAAAAAAAACCTCAACTGTTGAAAGCATGTGTGTCTTGTCATTGTTAGGCTATGAGCTGCCCAACACACTCAGTACCAAACACACAGATTTATTTTATGCTATGGGAATAAGATACATTCATCATTCTATTAAATGCTTTTTTATGCTGTAGAGCAGCACAATATTCTTTTGGTAGGACAAAGACTCCTTCAACTATTTAGTACACACAAAGTTTTGTAATTTTCGGAAGGAAATGTGTTAAGAATCTAAATACATGTCGATAGAGGATTTGCTGGCTGTAATTATTGGTGTTCCTGGGCCGTAAAAGACTTTCAGCGCAAGAAATGACGATGATCCTGTGTGTGTGTGTGTGTGTGTGTGTCAGTAGGTTAGACGGAAGGGCAGCCAGGGAGTTTACCTGAGAGTATTCCACTGGGTAAAGGCAAGAGTGCTGACGCAGCATGGAGAATAAGTGGTGGACAAACAAAAAGTTGATAAAATACACATCCAAAGTGGTCGGTTGGCTGGATGGATGGGTGAAGACAGCAATAAAATGAGACAAAGCCAAAGATGAGCGATGAAGCTCATCGGACTTCAAATATACATCCAATTAGTATTAGATTTCTTTGCAGTGAAGGGATTACAAAATGAATTAGTGATTCTCCCACACTGCTAAACGTGATTTTTAAATAATTTGCACTCTACTGGCAACTTGAGGGCTATTGCCTTGATTGCATCGAGTTTGGACCAAATAATAAGTCAGCAAAGTAGAGAATTATGGGATGCACATGGCGGGATTACGACGGGTCTGCATCACTTAACTCTGGGGATTCAAACTCGTTTTAGGTAATGGGCCACTTTGATCTCAGGTCCGCCAGACCAGTAAAATCATAGGCGATGGTCCAGCCGAGGGGGGGGGCACCGTCATTTTCAAGCGTGTCTCACACCCTTGAGGGTCTGTGTTTTAAATTAATGAGATTATAAAAGACCAAATTTTAAATCAGAGATTCTGAGAGATTGAAATGAGCACTTCTGTTTCCTGTCGTCATGTAAAACAAACCACACTGTAGTTAAAAGGCATTTACCTTTTAGTCTTTGGGGATGTAACATTACATGAGACGCTCTCATTTGACAACCTAACAATGATTTTAAGAACGGGGACTAAATAAGCAAGCAAAACGTCTATTTAACCATCTGGTCTTTTGTGTGCAGCAACCTTTATGGTCCACCTTAGTAGGATTATTATATCGGCACAATATTAGATTTATAACATAAATATACAAAACAATGTACAAGTCGAGATATAAGGTTTTCCTCTGTGTGTGTTTAATCAGTTTGACCAGAGCTTCTCTCCTTGATTGGTTTGCTTTTAGTGCATGTGAGCTGCATTGAGGCAATATATAAGTGCTACTCTGATACTTAAAATAAAAGTAGTTTCCTTGTGTATCAGCCATTCGTTCGTTACCTCTGCAGCTGCGCGATCTCCTGGCTGATGTCATCCAGCTCTTTGATGCCAGTGAACTCCCCTGACCCGACCGAACTCGAGCTGTCCTGGAGAGGGACGGAGACAAAGACAGGTTGGCAAAGTGACGGCTATTTTGGGGGAGAAGTGCAGTGGGATAAACAAACGGAGCCATGGTGTGAACCAGGCCGAAGGCAAAGAGGAGGAAGAGAAGAGGAGCAGCACAGAGGTCGTGTCAGTGAGCGGGACGGGGTCGTCACCAACATGTAGGGGGGGGGGGGGGGGGGAGGATAAACTGCCGACTAAAGGAAAGATTCCGGATTTTGCTGTTCCAAGTATAGAATTCATTAGAAAACACAAAGGTTTTCATGAAGGTGGTTTCCAACAATGTTCCACTACTTTGTTTGAGCGCATATGTTGTGCTCTTGATCAAACAGAAACCGCTGCGATCTGAAAGAGATCTCGAATCTTCCCTTGATCGGTCGACAGGGAGAGACCATGTCACTGCACTGGAATGGAGAGGAAAGTCAAATGCTTTCCCGTAACTGTGACAGCATTCCGTTTACTACCCTGCAGGTCCATGTTACCTACCCACAACTTCAACATTATGGCCTGAGAGAGGAGGAAGAGGGCCGTTAGACACATCGACAGCAGCAAACAGGAGTTAACCCTACATATCTTCTATACAGGCTCCCCTTTGGGGTTATTCCCGTTGTGTTCAACTACAAAGCAGAATCTAAATGGATATTTATTTGGATTTAATGTGAGGCAACTGCTCAAAAGTAAATATTGAAGAAATTCTTCCCATATTAAACTAATAAAAACTGCACTTAAATCCTATATACCGGTAGATTACTTTGAATTTAAGAATGAAACTAGAAAAACATCAAGCGGGCAAACACATTTACAACGCACAGTATATGGATTCACCGCTCCTCCAGCTTTACATTCACATTTTAAACCCCGCTGGTAGGTCTTTTGCATATCTGGAAATTGGTATAATTTCAAGATAATATGCCAAGAGCAGCAGAAGTGTGAGGAGGAGAAGGGACGTATGGACTCACCCTTCTCATCTCAGACAGAGCCGCCATCTCAGATCCCACTGGGGTCATGTATCCTGACAGAGTCTGCAGACATGGAGAAATGACCTCAGAGACAACAATGATGTGCATGTTGTATGTGACGTGTAGCTAAAGCCTAGTTTGTGGTTATGCGTTTTAAGAGAAACGCAGGGACACGAACACGCAAGAGCCCCTTGCGTGTGTGCGTCGACCAATTTTGTGGGTGGGATGAAATATGGAAATATGACCACTTATACAACCAGTAATTGGCGGACTATGAGGAATTCATGGAGGGAGATCTCCACAAACATTGGTTTGACGTTCGAGGGGTGCACAAGTTGTGGAGCAAAATATGGGACAAATATATTAAAAAAGGCGATAAAAAGCAGCAGTGGCGATGCACGGGGTGTGTGCACGGGACCCACAGGTACAGGAGTGCCTCTCTCTGAGGGGGGGATCATGTCGGCGGTCAGGGCCTGTGGGGGGTCGACGCCTTTGCTGACTTTCTGCTGGATGAGATACATGGCGAGGGCAAACTGCTCCCGGGTCAGCTTGCCGATCTGCCTGGTGTCTGCCAGAGCCCTGCAGGGGGGGGGGGGGGCACACACATGGGTCAACCCATTACACAAGCACAGCTGGACCAACAAAAAGGTCACCTCAAGAAAGCATTAGCAAGGAATCAAATAAAACAAACAAGTTTACCAAAACTCTTGCTTACTTTGAATAAATATATTATGATTTGGAAGCAAATCAAACCCAATTCACTTGCTTGCTTATTCATAGTCACCAAAGGCACATTTATTGGTCTGACGTCCTGCTGTATTTCCTCAATTTGCTCCCAGTAATCTGTTTCCTAAAAACATCTGTTAATGATCAGAACACCAGATCCACAGTTCTCCGGAGCTACAAAGACAGGCTGTACGCAAGAAAACAGCTGAAAGCACTGAAGATTTGAAGATTTTCACGTAGGACGGCCGGGCCTCGGTCATCTGAACCAGCGCAGCTGGTCAGCAGACACATTTGCACGAAGCACTTGGAAAGCCGATAGCTGTGCTCACGTAGTGCGACATGGTTCATAAACTGAGAGGGTGTTAGATTTGAACTTGGACCTGTTGAGGATTGAACATTTTAGCACAGGGGATTGATTTCCAACAGTAAATGGCTTTTCCTTTGTGAAGCATTTCTGACAGCCTTGATTCTAATGGTACCACTTTCCAAACTATCAATGGTTATTTATTTAATAGAGTTTAATGACCCATTTTGAGCAAACTGTCGGGTTGCCAGGTTGTGAAAACCCCCTTAACCGGCGAGAACACATGGCCACTTGCGTAACGGTCAGGAATGGAACATGAGTGAGCTTACCATATGTGGGCCAGGGCATTCTGAGACAGTCCAGAATGCATGAAGATATCCTTCACTTCATTCCCGCTGACAAAACCGTCCAGATCAGCGTCGGTCTTCAGGAAGATATCGTCATAGCGCCCGCGGTCCGACACTGGGACCACCCAGTTCAACGAATGCTGAGACAGAGACGGAGGGATGCATTTCTCTCTTGATAAAAGGTTAGTTCTACAGAGATCCGTTACCGGTCAGATGGTTCTTCACCGGAGATCGTTGTCACAGCTCAGAGTCATAAACCTCAGTGGTATTTCAATGTGTCAGATCAAAGGTTCAAAAACACATGAGTGCATGAGCGCAGTTTGTGTTTTTACTGATGTGGGCGTGTCACTAATCACCTGTCCAGACTTGAGGGAGTGTTTGGGCGACAGGCTGCCGGTGCTGTTGAGGGAGTTCATGCTGCCGTGGGAGGGTGTGGAGCGTAGCGAGTCTTTCGGGGGTGGGGGGCTTGCAGGGAGCCCAGGCATTGAGCCGGCCACCGAGCCCAGACTCTTCTTCCTCTTAGATAGAGGGATGAGGGCAGAGGGCAGGAGCGCGGGGACGGGCTCCTTCTCCAGGGCCCGGTACACCAGGTGCATGGCCTGGGGAAGCGCACGCTGCCGTCAATGCACACTCACTGCTCCAGGTGTGAACACGTTGTATATTCTCAGGCCATGGGGAATCATAACGGGGGGACTAGGAAGAAGAAGGAGCTCACCACTGCGAACTCGTCCCTGTCCAGGTGGCCATCTTTATCAATGTCACTCAGGTCCCAAACCTGGCAGCAAGTAACACACACAAGGCCAGGCAGAGAAATGAAGAGGCGGGACAATCACAGATTGTCGGTGTCGTTACCACAAAACCGCTTCACCTGCAGGACACATCTCATTCTGGCTCGAATAGTTTGATCTTTAGTCGAGGAACCAACTAGCCTAATTCAAAACCTTAAAACAAAAGCTAGTCCACACCTTCCCGAGGATATCCAGGGGTAGCTTGGAGTTGATGAGCACTGGTTTCACCTTCTCCCCCGACAGCAGGCCATTGACTGGAGCCAAACTCTCAAAGATCCCATCAAATTTACTCTTCTCCTCGTGCTGCAAAGGAGAACACGCGGGAGTTGTGTAGAAAGACGGATTCAAACATCGTTAGACTGACTGAGCCGTTCTTTGGACCTGACGGAAGAGCTCAAGCGAACTCACACAATGATTGGTTTCCTCCACATTGAATACGAGGTACTATAATGGTTCAATTAAAAACAGTTCATGTGGCAAGCGGGACATTTTACAGTGTAAACAACAAACTTCAGAAAACGGTACACGTATTCGTACTTTAATTAATAATAAATATAATTTGTTGTAAAATGGTCTTTCGGACTCGCAAAAATAAACAGAGCTTAGGAAATGCAATTTAGTTCTCCTTTGTCTTCTATGAGTCAATGACTCTAATGACTGTGTGTGTGTGTGTGTGTGTGTGTGTGTGTGTGTGTGTGTGTGTGTGTGTGTGTGTGTGTGTGTGTGTGTGTGTCTCAACACACCCTAACAGCCCAGTGTAAATCGCCGGAGGCGGATGCTGTGCTGCTTAGAGATGGACTGCTGCTGTCCTTCTGAAATCAGAGGAACCATAAATAGGGAACATGAATATAGAACTATAGAAACTAAAACGTTAAATGGCTTTTAGCCGTCATGATAACATCATACTCACAAACTTGGGAGGAGGGATTGTGAGGTTGAGGCTGGACAGACTGACTTCCTGACCGCTCTGGGCACAAGCCACCAGCCGCAGAGCTACGTGAAAGCCCTGAGAGAGAAAACACAGCACAGGCCTTCAAGTCGCTCTGAGCCGCTGCTAAAAGGCATGACACATTAATACAGCTACTGAAGAAAATATATATATAATCTGGAGAGTTTCCGGTCTGCTGTTCCCTTGTTTCTATTTGAACATAATTCCAACTGGGGTTATCTTAGAAGATCAACTTGATGAGATGACGTTGTCATCAAGTCCTTCTGCATAATTGCATCCAGTCGGTTTCTCTTCTCTTATAGAAGTACACAGAGTACATTTAAGACGTCCCTACCTGTTTGTCCAGATAGCCTTTGCCATCAGGATCGGCCAAATCCCAAATCTGAAAACACAAACACAGAGCATTAAAGACTGAATGAGACCTAACGAAGGGATCCTGTGTTTATTGAGTCTTACTTGCTAAATAGGTTCAAAAATCGTTGAGTGTTTTTCTATCAAACTGCCCCCTTTCGTTTCCCATTAAGTTAGTGAACTCAGGGGAGGTTTCATGAAGTGTGGAGGTGATGAAGCTACAGCTGCTTCGGACCCATCGGTTACGACGCCACCCAAGAGAACCCCATTCGACTTGGGGAACATTCATCAGCAGTCAGAAAGCTTGAATAAATGAAGGTTGAGGAGGCGATCCGGACACTAACAAAACGCTGCATTTAGGTCAGGGGACAAAGGAGCATTCAGGACAGACTTGTCAACTGGCATCAAGGAGGAGAGGCTGGAGGAGGATCTCTACACCAACAACACTGACAACCACAGGAGCTTAGGTCTGTGGACTGTGGGAGGAGGACGGAGAACCTGGAGGGGCCCACACAGACGGGACGCAGAAGGCGGTCCTCTTTACGGGTCAGCAGGAGGAGAAGAAATTGGCCCATTGATCATCCAATACAGAGCAGTTTAAAGCAGACCGGCACACAGGCGAGGTGGAGATCCACAAACTGCTGTACGAAACAAGCGCACCTCTCGCGCTGTCTGTGACGTAATCATTAAGTAGAGAGATAAAAGCGTGGGACTTGAGCCACTAAGTTACCGACCTTGCCCAACGTGACGTCAGGGAGTCCGGACTTCTTTAGGAACAAGGCGGCTTCCGTCGGGCCCACCCTGCCGGTGTTCCCCGGGTCCACCTGGAAAAACGCACATGTTTGAGCTTATCAGAATGTTTTCATGCTTCCACGTCGCACCGAACAATAACAGTAGAGAACGAACCTGTCTGTAATAGCTCTCATATACGGGGTTCCCACTCGACAGCTGTGGAGAGGAGAGAAAGTCATTGCGCTGTAAACCAAAACCTTCTCGAATAAACCGTGTGAATTGCACTGATTCAAACGTCTAGATGGCTGAACCTTACGTTGGAGTTCTTATTCAAATATGTATTTGACGCTAATGTCGGGTGTGCTGAAAGAAGAACTCACGAGAAGACATCACGACCCAACTGGTGACTGCGGCGACACCACAGACGACAAGAACCGCTACCGAGCGACGCCTTGAGCCTGGACGTTAACACGGAGACTAGCGAGCACCGAGGCACTAATGCAGGCTAAGCCCGGGTTAGCCCGGGTTAGCCCTCTGCATAGCCTGCATGTAAGGAGCTCATGAGCGTGTTTATCTCCATCCTCCCACTGCTGGGCATCAAGGCTAGGCTAAGCTAGCTCAGCCGTTGCCAGATCAAACTTCTAGTGCTTTTTAAAAAAAAAAAATATGCGCGCACGTGTCAGCGTGTCTCCCGGCGTGTGTACGGGGCACACGGTGCTCGTTACGTTTGAATGCATACTTAATAATTGCGTGTTACGCCGCATGTAACGTTGCACAGCTACACGGCTAGCTTTCCTCCAGCTGAGGCTAACGAGCCGCTACCTAACGGTCCTGCAAATAGGCCTGACAGCCTAAATTGACGGCTGCATGTCAAAGCCAGCTCGGCTTTTCTTTCAATTTATATTAAAATACAATTTTACGCACGCGACACACCACACCGTGCTAACAAGTGGTTCAGATTCGCAGAAGTGCGCAATCTTAAATCGCTGCATCTTTACCTGGGAAAGAGATGTGAGAGCTGCCATCTTCCCGGTTGCTGCGGGAACGCACCCTCCCTCGCGCGCTCTCCCGGGCACCACTCCCCTTAGCGGGCAGACCCATGCCTCACACCCCGGGAACGCACGGATGCGCAAACTCATCGAAATAACTGCTCATTTTACGTCGCCTACGTTGTTGTGCAAAATTGGGATTTTTTTTTACAATCAAACATTTGTGTGCTGCGTTTCCTTCAGGGAAGCTGTTGAATTCGGCTGACGTGGTTGCGTGAAAACATTCAAGCGGTCAGAGCTTAATTTGTTTTATATTTAATCATGTTAATCTGTAGAATCAAATCCCATAAATATTATTTATAATAAATACAAATAGTTGTAAAATTATCGAATGAAGATGTAGAATTCCCTTAAAATAGAGATCCTGGATTCGACTGCTCACATGTCTAAATATGATACAAACTAATACACAAGTAAATATGGCGCTTTCACAGCTCATCATGATAAAACACATGTTCTCACCCAATTAGTAAAAGCCATTTATTTTTACACAATGCTCAGTTTTTCACAACAATTTTGCAAAACCATAAAGTGTATTTAAAATCCTAATGTACGGTTTTCAATAAATCCCAAAGAAAATAAATGGGTAAGATAAGGCAACACAACAACCCACTGTCATGCTATAAATAGCTGTGTAACAATTGCATGCAACCAAATCGCCCTCACAGCTAAAGAAAAGCCCGTACAACATCAAAGTGCTCCTGTTCACCCCAAAGTGTTTACAAAACTTCCAGTTCAAACACAAGACAGAGAAGTCAAGGAAGAGACAAAGTACACACTAAAAACTAGAAAATATATATGCACTTAAATTACCTTGAAAGCACCATTATAAATAAAACGGTAATGGTGATAAGCAATCCGGTCTGTGCTTCATTGTAAACTATAACTCCTTTTGAAGTGTTCAAGTTGGTGACAATCATAAGCCATAAATGAGCAATGCCTCAAAGTGGGACGACTTCACGGTGCAGATATGACATGAGACGAATGGAACACAAACAGACTGTCTGTTGTTCATCATTGGGGCTAATGATGTACTAAGAAATCACAACTTTCATTTTATTTTCTCAAGTGTAGGTTCCTCACAAAGCTCGCTATGTGGCATCTTATAATCACTCCTCAATTTCCTGTATGTGAAGAATAACCAAACAGACAGATGACAATTCACATGCAGAGACTTCTTCTCCTACAAAACATCACAGCACACATTATGTAGACAACAGGACACTTTATGCACATCAAGGACATTGGATGTTCCAAATAGAGTGAAAGGGTTTTTTGACCAAACTCTGAAGGTATTTGGGTCTAAAAGCCCATTTCTGCCATTACTTTTTTTTAAAGATCAACAATTAACCTGTTGATAACAACCACCAAAAAGTATACTTGAGGTGAGAAAATAAAATACTTTTTCTGTTATACTAAATGAAAAGGATTAAATTCTGCTTCAAAAATTGTAGTAAACTATGTTAAATGTTCCGTCCATAGTCCAAATGTGGACCATGTTTTTGACAGGGGGACCCTCACCTAAAATCTAAATAATAGCAAAGCCCAAACAAACGAGACAGTCAGTCAAAAGAAACACTAGGGGTCATTATCTCAACATCTTTCCATTCCGAACATTCCTTTTTCCTTTTGTTATGGCAGGAGTGGGCGACAAAGACTCAAATATTCTGCAATGTATTGAGGTCTTGCAGATGTCGCTTACCACGGATGGAAGCACACACATACACATCCGCACGGTTGCTGAGACGTAAAACAACCACCAGCCTTGGAGCGTTTTTTTTTACCAATGGCAAAATAATCAGAATAACTGAAATGACATCCTTTCAGCTTGCATCACTTTTTCAGGGGAACCTAACATGCATATTTTTATCAAGTATTTATACCAGTCAGATACATTCAAGAACGCACACATTGTGTACAGTCTAAGTTCAACGTTCTACAGGCAGTGTGTGTGCGTGTGCGTGTGCGTGTACCCCTTTGAAAACTAAAGCCTGTAAATCTGGAGGCCCATTTCTGCCAGCAGAGGAAAACAACCTTTGGATTATTTCATCTTGTATTATGTCATTTTTAAAATGAATTGGACTGGACTTCAATTATGACTTTTTATAATTGTGACCTTTTGTCTGACGCTTCTGATGGTTGTTTCTTAGAAGTAGACCGTCTGACTTTCCATTACGGGCGGGAATGGGCCTTCTTATGTAAAGGTGATTCCTGCCTGGACTCTTCAGGACAGGATCTCTGGGCACAAGCGGCGGCGGTAATGATGTCAGCGGCTCGGCTCACACCCGGCTGTGTGGAGGGGAGGCGGCCGGGAAGCCTTTGAGCGGCACGTCGCCGTCCTTCAAACCCAGCATTGTACACGGTCACACGGCGTGCACCTCGTGTAGTCACCTGCTTTGCGGCCTTCGGGTGAACGGCGACGCAGCAGTCGGCCGATGCTTGACTACTCGTCGTCGTCCCATGTCTGCTGTAGCAGGAAGTTGGCGGCTAGATTCTCGTTCTTCTCGCAGGCAAAGTAGGCCTGGATGACTAAGCCCTCAGGGAAGCCAAGCGCTTTTAACTGGAAAACAACACATATGTTTATTTAATGTCACACACACAATTGCAAAATGCTGCTCTGCAAATATTAGGCATCAAAAACACATCTAAACTAATCGGTACATTTTTTACAAAATGTATTAAGAGAGAATTATGAGTTGGGGAAGGTACGAACGGAAAGAGTAGATCTGGTCAGCACTGCCTTTGCGAAGGTTGAAAAGAGTAATAAAGTCACTTTTATTTAGTAAATTATGGATACAAGGGTGGTCACTTCTGCTCAGTTGACTTCGCAGACCCGTGTGTGAAGACGCTCTGACTGTGCAGCTCACACTTTGACCAGAAAAGAAGGAGGCAACTGACCCTCTCGATGGCTTCCTTCTCCTGTGGGGTGACCTGGATGTAGTTTGTCCCTGGGGGGGACCCCTGGCCCTCGGACTCGGCCTCGTGCCCCGCCGGGTCTCCGGCTCGTGGCTCATTCAGCATCTGCACAAAACGCTCCTGGTGCTGCGTGATTTGCTGTAAGTCATACATTTAGATGATGTAAGTACTGCACAGTACCAAACGTTCAAAACGCCATTCCTCCTGAGCGGCTGAGAGAACGCAGAATTCTTCTTCACAAGATCCTTTATCTTCCAGTAAAGGGTTTTTTAAGACTCTTCTACGACTGAAGAGTGATAATTACCTTTTTGTTTAGTTTGCTTGAAGTAAAAGTACTATTATCAGAGAGAAAATACTCAACTAGAGCTGGAAGTACATAAACGTGTTACAAGGTAAAATTCTACCTGTAAGTGTTTTATAACTAATATGTGATCTTTCCTGATTCATACTACTTCTGCATTAATCTGCATTCTAACCCTTTTATATCCGGTTGGCTAGTTTAATCTACAGCTATGCATCTTATTCTGGAGGATCATCATATGTTTTGGCTCAGCTGAACCACGGGTCACTAAAAAGACGCTTGGACGAGAAACCTTTTAGACTTTCTTTAGATTAAGAAATGGGAGGATTTCCTTTCAAACAAGTGCATCACATGTATGTGCACTTATGTGCAATATATTGTTAGAAAATATTCTTTGATATTTTTGCATTCAAGTCATTCTGGGTCAAAGTGGGGGGGTGCTACCTGCAGTAGCTGCGGGTTGTCTCTGCCTAGCTGCTGCAGGAGGGCCGGCAGGAGGGCCGGGTTCTGCTGGATGATCTGTCTCATTTGCTGGAACGGAGGCTGGTTCCTCAGGAACTCCAAAGGGTTCCCCGTAGAGACTGAGCCCCCCCCGCTGGAGGGAGGCTGGCTGACGGACCCTGGCTCTGCTGGAGAGAGGACGAGCTGGTTATACAGAACTACAAACCCGACTAACTGTTCCTGGACCGCCATGTGGCAGGACGGGCCGTGTCCATGTGGCCGAGAATGGGTATTGTTCAAATTTGATCAATACGAACACTCTTACCAAAACTCTTAATTGGTTTTATTTCTACACAAAAAAACTGAATTAATTAGAATTTTATATATTAAAAAAATTGTGTTTCTCAGGCAGCAACAGAAATATTAATGAAATATTAAGTAAAGTTAACGAACAGAGGACACGCTTGTGTTCTTACGGTTTGATGCCACTGGGGGCTGTTGGGGTTCTTGCGTAGCGGGGGCGGGGGCGTCGGGTGGAGCACTGGGTCCAACCGGCTCCTGAGGTGGCGGATCACTGGCCTCTGCAGGAATGCCCTGCGGTTCATAAACATTTACTACAGACACACACACACATACACACACACACACACACAGACACTGGAATACAGCACGAATGGACCCCCCCCCGGGGTGGTTAAACCCTCACCGTGAGCAGGTACTCCACTGCTCGGTCCGGGTTGTTGTAACTGGCTCTGAGTGCGGCGACTACGTGCTCCCGCTCGTAACCCATGGACATGATCTCCGACACCAGGCTCTCATAGGCTGGATCCGTCACTGTGGAAACCGGGGTCCAATTAGTTGTAACGGTGTCCTGTAATATGTCCCTACATTTCTATTGTTATGCAAACTTAGTTCACTTGGGTCCTGTTTTTTTTATCCCCAAAGATCTTCAATAAAAGCTAGAGGTTCAATAACAGATCGAGGTTCCATACCAGCGGCAGTGTGACACACAGTGGGAATCTAAATTGATACAAAAGGCGCAAACAGCCAAAAAAGGAGTAACCAGCTCACAGAAAAGCGGTTAGAAAACCCACTACATGCACTGTGCCAACGCCTTGTGTTGACAGCATCAGCTGCTGGTGCTGCTTGCATGCAAAAAAAAGTCAGGGAGTAGTTGAGCTTTTTACGTCACAATGAGTCAGTTCAGCAGCAGACCTGAGCGTGATTATCTTTCCTTTCATCCCGCTGCTTTGCAGTCACAGCGATACTTTCCCTCTCTGCTTGCGTGTACAAAATATCTAAAACAAGCCAATTTGAAAAGCAATCACATTCATTCACACTATCCACCGGCACTTAAAACATAACCTGTGCACTCGTGTTTATTCTGTTACGAGAAGGACATGAAATCACAGATGCATTACCCAGTATGGACGCAGCTTCTTCTAGGAGACCCAGATCATCAACCAGGCTTTAACAGAAATAACACAAACAATTACAGGGAGCAGAGAAACAACATCAGACCTCGCTAGCTCAGTGAGGCAACGAAATGCTAACACACACTCTTCACATGCAGCTGTTCCACATTGGCTATATTGGAATCAAACACAAAGAAGAGCTTTGGCTCATAGGAATGTTTTCAATACATAATTATATAAATATCTGTTAATCCTCACATCAAGCCGTTTGAACTTGTTTCAAAAGAAAGGAACTACCTAAACCAGGATGCTGCGATCACAATAAGAGCTTCTCTCACCAACCATTTCTCAGACTACCGGACAAAACGCGTGAACACTGCTCTCCTCACACCTGGCAGCAGTGGAAAAGACTTCCGCGGGGGCAGACGGTTCGTCCTCCGGCTTTTTGTCTGGTTGGGCAGGCGGTGTGGGAGGGGCCGAAGGGTCTGACGCCGGTGCTGTCTGGGCCGAGTCTGTGGGCGAGTCGGACTGTTTGGTTGCTGCAGAGTCGAGGCCTGCCGTTACTTTGACAGCAGCCGGGGCGGGGTCATCTGTGGCTGGGCGCGGGGCTACAGAGCAGGGGGCCGACTGCGAGGCCGACTGCGGGGCCGACTGCGGGGCCGACTGCGGGGCCGACTGCGGGGCCGACTGGGGGGCCGACTGGGGGGCCGACTGGGGGGCCGACTCGGTTGCAGAAGCTGCACGTTGTGGTGCTGGAGCAGCCGGTTGGGGGGTCGGCTGTGGAACAGCTTGAGGAGTAGGGGCAGGTTTAGGCTGTAAAGAAAGTTAAGAATTGATCATTGTAGTGTGGGTGTGAGGACCAAAATTCTAAGACAGTTCCATGTCCGTACCATCGTCAGTGTAAAGAGGCTGTGACCATGTGTGATGAGCAGTGTCCGTCAGAGGCCGTAGGGCTCATTGTCAAAGCTTGTGAAGATACTGGCATCACCTGGTACTAGTGGTTCATCTTCTCGTACCGACCCGGTCGTCGTACGGCTTAGGGAGAGCTGGTTGGGAGGGGGTTAAATGACGCTACCAGGTAAGGCTACATTTGGGTGATTTCAAAAAAGTAGCGCAGGTGCTTCCCACCTTGGTACCCACGTGGCTCCTGTCTACATGTTGACCTTGCGTCAGTGCCACGCAGTTTTGGGTAAAATACATTATTTTGTATGAATGTGTTAATTTTTCCTAAAATGGTGTGTTTCATTATTTCTGCCTAGTGGACACATCAAGTGTTGCATTCATGTGCGATGATCTTATTTGAATTCAAATCCAGTGAGCAACTGCGTTATCCTTCAGGGGAACTACAGGGACACGTGTAGGGACACAAGTTTGGGTTCCACTGCTGGAGCCGTTTCTCCCGCTACTCGGCGGAGAAGCAGTTGAATGATGAGTGAGTGAGGTTTTGATTACATTACAGGTCATTAGCTGACACTTTTATCCAAGGCGACTTACATTGTATTTTTAACCCATGGTTTTTACATTTTTGCCTGGGGAGCAATTAGGAGTTAGGTGTCTAGCTCAGGGACACTTGGACATGGGACATGGGGCTGTCGGGGCTTGAACCGCCAACCTTGCGGTTCCCGGGTCACCCTCTCTACCCCGGCGCCACGTCGACCCGGTGACTGGTGTAAAGGTCTCATCAGACGATAGTCTGTAACAGGCGCCGCGACCACCACAACGGCACAAGGTAAAAGTATGATATACAACCCAAATATTGTAAAGGGACTGCTCATTTATTCCTGTTGTTGGTACAGCTGACGAGGAGCTGTCCCATGAAATAAACTGGGACAAGTTTACAATGTTTAAGTTCTGGCCATTAACATGACGTGTGGGCACAAGCGTAAGCCAATCCCCTAGCAAACATTTTACAAGTACTACCGATACTACCTGTACTGGGACGATACTTCCCACTGGGTTTCCCCTTTGAACACGATGTGTTAATTTGCTCACGTGTTTTCAATCCCTTCTAATTTTTTGCAGCCATCGTTAAACTACGGCGTAGAAACTCCTGTACCTCCTGCGTGTGTTTAAAGTAGAACAGGATCCCCCTTGGGCAGCTGGGTGGCTTTTAATCTGAAAAGTCTACAGAGGAAGTGTTGAAGACCATTGACGTTAGCTTCATAGCAACCATAAGCAGAAAGGTATTAGACTGGAAATAATAGGAACATGGAGACTGTATGTCTGTTAAAACCATGAATCACAGCAGAGTGGAGTACGACGTGACAGAAGAAAGAAACAGTCCAGAGACACTAACCTTGGTAACCATGACCACCACAAAGTTCTTCTCATCAATTTTGTACTCTTTCAGCGTGGTTTCATTGTTTAGGATTTTGCCTGTGACATTAAAAGAAAAGAAATCGTTATTAAGAATCATCCTAATACGATTGTTTAATAAGAAGCTTCACATGTAAAAAAAATGTAAATCTGAAGGGCTCTAAGGTAACAAAGACACCAAATGTTTTAGTTTCAGGTGACTTTCCACTAATAAAATATACTTGATTGAATATCATAGTCCATTTTGGAATATAAATCCCCCTGCTTACTGGTGCAAGGCCTTGAACAGTGTTTGCAGTAATGCACAGACCGTAACAACAAATGTGACACACACTCTCATGTGTAACATCCCCCAAAACGGTGGACTATTAATAACCGCTTAGTACTATTAATAACCACCGAATACTGCAGTGAGTATTTCAGTCCGTGGACACCTCGGATGCATTAAGGCTCTCAGCACGGCAACATACATTTTTGTGTTTAAAGTCATTTTGACACACGGTTAAACTAGTTTCAGCTGCTGCGGTTATAGAAACAGTAAAATATACACCTTCAGCAATTCTTACAAAGGTTAAAGAGTAAAATGTTTAAAGAAATCATGTTTTGAGTTCATACATTTAGTTGGATCTCAATAGAACAGAATATAATAATTGAATACGTGTTTTTTGTTGCATTTCTTCGGCTCACCTGCATAGATCAGTTTTTGTCCTGCAGCAGGAAATGCATCTTTTCCTCGGTCCTTCTCTATTTTCTCTTTCAGGGCTTCAACCTGTGAAGAAACATTAGTATTAACATGCAAAGTAAGTAAAGTAAAAGCCAGTAAAAACAAAGGGGAAGAAAAAAAAAAAACTTAAGATAGCATAAAAAACGCCTTCTTTAACTAAAAAGGATTTCAGGCCAGTTTTAAAAAAGTCCAGTGACCGTACTGACCGTAACATTCCATGTTTGCTGATGACACGGCCGGGGGGTTAGGGGGGGGGCATGTAGGTGATAAAGAGGACGGGGCCACGGACCGACCCTTGCAGAACACTACAGGAGACTACAGGAGCACTTGCATCTTCCCAGTGAGACGTATTCAGTTCTGCCAGAAAGGTGGGACCTTTCTTGGACCACTTGAGTGCAGTCTGATAGTTCAATGGTGATGTGGGGACTGTGAGATGCATGTTATGGTAAAACATGTTGTAACATTTGTCTTGTGCTAAACCCGTGTCTCAAGTGTCTGTATTTGACCCTGATGTGCAAAAGCAGAAAGATTTAAGGTTTCCATATGCAGCTGTGTCTGAAGAAGGGAGTTAACTTGCTCTCACACAGACGCTCGAACAAACAAACAGTGTGTGTTACCCTCAGCTTAACCTTGGTTCCTATCTCAACCTAATTTGCAGCTTCTCGTAACTGGCACTGAGGATGGCCTTCACATGGGTATAAAAACTCAGCGCTTTTACTGCTCGGAGACTCCTTTAATTGATCAACGTGTTGCGATCCTTCTCATCAACCAACTCTGGGGGGGATCGGAGATTCCGACAGCACACTCAAGCAGGATACTGTGATCCATTGTATCAAATGCAACAGTCAGGTCCAGGACGATGAGATGGGAGGGTGATCCAGCATCAGCGGTCATCAGCAGGTCATTCGTCACCCTGAGCAAAGCTTTCAAACAAGTTGTTGTGCTTGAGGTGGTCCTGAAGTTGATAAGCAACTACCTTCTATAGCACCTTGGACAGGAAGGCAAGGTTGTAGATATGTCTATAGTTGGCTAGAACCTCCAGGTCCAGGGTGGGCTTCTTGAGGATGGGACAGATGACAGCAATCTTAAGAGCAGGTGGGACACAGCCGGAATGAAGGGAAAGGTTAACAACTCTGGTGGTGAAAGGACTGAGAGTGGGTAGATGTGACTTGATCAGACTAGCGGTGGGAAAGGGGTCGAGGGGGCAGGTACATGATGTCATTTTTCTAAGGATTTCCTCAACATGGCTCTCCTGAACCTCAGCGAGATGTAGAGGAGACAGCACACTGGCAGAGAAGGTGTTGGTGTCACAGGGAAGCAGAGGTGGAGAGCTGGACATCAGAGAGGGCATGTTGTTGAAAAAGTCAATGAACCGGTTGCATTGCTCTTCTGTAGCCTCAGTTGAAAAGGATGGTTGCGGCCTCAGGAGATAGGAGATATATCTCCACTGGACTTTGGACAGTGAGCCTGGAGCGTCTGCAGCGTCGTTCCAGGACACGCCCAGCTATTTTTATTTTATTTTCAAATGGGACAGTAGAAGATTGTAAAACTGTTGCCTGGTCTGTTGAGTCTCCATTTCAGCTGATGATTCAGATAGTCGGGTCAGAAGTTGGAGTAAACATGAAAGCATGGATCATCCTGCCTTGTACAACGCTTCAGGCTGCTGATATAATGGTGGGGGGTATTTTCTTGGCACACTTTGGGCCCCTTAGTACCATTTGAGCATTATTTAAATGCTGCAGCCTACCTGCGTGTTGTTACTGACCATGTCCACACCTTTATGACCAGTGCACCGTCTTCTGATGGCCACTTCCAGCAGGATAATGCATCATGTCACAAAGGTCATTTCATCTCAAACTGGTTTCTTCAACGTGACAATGAGTTCACCGAACTCCAATGGCCTCCACAGTCACCGCATCCCAATCCAATAGAGCACATTTGGGATGTGGTGAAACGGGAGATTTGCATCATAGATGTGCAGCCGACAAACCTGCAACAACTGCGTGATGCTATCGGGTCAACATGGACCAACACCTCTGAGGAATGTTTCCAACACCTAGTTGAAAGTATGCCGCAAAGAATTATGGCGGTTCTGAATGTAAAAGGGGGTCCAACCTTTTACTAGCAAGGGGTTCCTAATAAAGTGGCCGGTGAGTGAGTGAGTGTGTAATATATATATATATATATATATATATATATTTACACATTATATAGATTATATAACAATTCTTTCAAAGTCTCCGCTCTCTTCTGCAAAAAACGCTTTACTGACCAGCATTACCTTTACTACAAATAGGTTTCAAATATTGCATCGTCATTCATGTTGAGACTAAAAGAAGTCAAACACAGACAACCTCAATGAAAGCGAAAAGAATTCCGGCCAGTGGTTTCAAAATAAACCCCTAATGCGGTGCGTCGTAAAAGCATCCGAGGAACACCAATGAGAATAAGGACCACACATCTTACTGTGCTGTAGGACAGATGAAAACATAACGGTTACGATACCCTTCTACAGAGTAGCGTGCTTTCAGATGGCCGTCATCAAGTTGCATTACAGGTTTTACGCTTTTATTTTGAAGGGAACCTAAATTAGCTGAACTTACATGAACTCTGCAGATACTTACTCCTGTCACCCCCACACATTTAAGTGACATAAACGTAACGTTACTTGTTTAAAATAAGCTAGCGTCAAATAACTCACCCATCTTTCGAGCAGCCACTGCCAGTGTCGTATCCTAATATTATGCTGAAGTATGGTAAGCGTGTTTACCTCAGCCCCGTTAACTTCTCCCGTTACTCACCGTCATGTCTGGCTCTATCTCTATTCTGAACGTCTGCTGCTGGAGCGTCTTCAGCGTTATCGTCAGCATCTTTCCACGCAGGGTTTAGAGGAGGCCGCGGAGGCGAATGAGAGGACTGAGGGCAATTTTACGCCTGCAGCCGTTTATTTCGCACTGGACTGAATCAGACGAGCGTGTGACTCAGCTGTCTGAGTGGGGGCGCGAGCGCCATCTGCTGCCGGAAGTGGAGCGCGACGCGCTGCCGCCTTCAAGTGCAGCCGGAAATATCGCCACGGAGCGGGATGAATGAGGCAATCGATTCTTTGCATTTTTATCTGCTCGTGTTTTGTGTTTATCTCTCGGCTACTTTCAAGTAGAGCTGCCAGTAATCAAGAATGTTCCTACTTTTTGTCCGTTGTGTAGGTGAAATTAAAGACAATGGATTTTTATTTTGTGGACATAGTAATTCAAAAGACATCCAAAACAAACTACAGGATTCTACACATAATTGTATTAGACGTATATTTCTTAAAATGACAGAAACTGATCTGCATTTATTTGCTTTAATCATAAAGTATTTTTTTCTTCACTTTTCTATTTAGTCGTTCCAGCACAACAGAGCTAGTTCTCACTTTTACATGGATGGTGTATTGTTCCCACTTCATTTTCTCTTGCAATAGATACTTTGGATAAAACCTAGGCTACCCACCTTGGACTAGACTACTAACGTAGACATAAATGGTAGACACGCATTGAGGTTTAACGGATCCATTTAGGTTGTGTCGTCAGCCAGCGTGCCCAGTTTGTTGGCTTCACATTAAATTAGGTTCTCCCGCAACAAACGTGATGCTTTATCCTCAAATGGTAACTGCAATAAGTTTTTTGGGTCAGTACTCAAGTGTTTGAGCAGATTAGGAGGCTTGTATGCTTATTCTTTGATCTCACATACAAACATCAAAAATACATTTAAAAAAAATCATTCAATAGATATTAAAGTGATCTTATAAAAGTAAACTTGACATCTTTTCAGGTAGCCATCCCTCCACTAGAGCTTGATAGGAAAGTCCTACCCACCTGTAAATATGTAAATACCTGTAAAAAAAACAACAACACTCAAAGCATCGTAAACAGGTGTCGGCATGTAGAGGCTTGGAATTTATTCACTGAAAGTGAGCAGTGTGCACACATACATTCACAATGACAAAGGCCAATTATAAGAATCAGTTTGTTTAATGCAGAAACACACACACACAAACACAGAACGCTTGCCCTGAACAGGAGCTTTAGAAACTGACGTTTTCAGGGAATCAATGTATTGATTGAATAAATTATGAACGTGTCATTTAAAAATAAAAAAAAATCCTACATCACAGGAATAAAAGTGCATGAACTAGACATCAGACCCTGGATTTAGTGGATATCCCAACAAAGACAATATTAACAAGGAATTGGCTGCGCTAGTGACTGCAGGATGCACACAGGATGTAAGACCGATCGGTGGGCTGCATTAAATCAGAACAAAAGCAAACAAAAGCAGACCAAGGGAAATAAACACCACATGAACCCCTCTCCCATCTCATTTGAACGCTAAAAAAGAAAAAGCCAAGGGAATCAATAACAAAAAACAAATGACCTGACCCCACCTTCCATCCCTCCCACCCCTACACCTGAATAAAAGGCTGCTGTATCAAAGGCCAGAGTCCACAGGGCTTCCTCTGATTTTCCCGTCGTTGGTTTAGAAGCACACAGCAGTCAGTCAACCGGCTTCTCTCTTCTACAACTCGGTCTTCTGGTTCTTGAGGTCCTCTCTCTTCTGTCTCGGCGTCCTCATCCGTCTCCTCGCCCTCCTCCTCCGCCTCATCGTCATCTTCCTCTCCTTCGGCCTCCTCGTCACCCTCAGTTTCCTTGCTCGTGCTCTTGGCCTTCTCCTCCTCCTCCTCCCTTATTTTCCTCTCCATGTCCTCTTGCGCCTCCTTCATCTTCTTCTCTGGTCCCTGGGGGGCAAAGACGACAAAGTGGTCTCGAAGTTTCAAACCGGTATTTGAGTTGACAATGCTGACAGGGAGGAATTTTGATGTCATCAATCCTTCTGCACGCGCACACAGACACCATTGTGTTCCTATCACTTAACGATAAACTTACCCTACTGGGAGTGGGAGGGCAACCAAGCAGGAAGTAATGCTACTGTGAATCCAACCCACACTGCATGGCATCATAGCTCCTTTATGCTTTCAGTAGCTGCTGTACATCACTTTAATAAAAAGGCTTTACACTGTTCAATCTGTACTGTATAATCGCATGGCACCTTGAACCGCCTGGTTGTTTGGGCAATATAGCAAGAAGAGCATGATGGCTGCAGTTGGACCTCCTGATATTAAACATGCTGTAATGGGACAAACTAAACCTCTGCTGGCATACTAAATAGTGTGGCAGCACAGGGTCCTTGTAGTGGTGCTGCTGGCTTCACTAGCTCTGAGTATTCATGATGAATTGCTTGTTTTACAGCATAGTAAGCTCTAAATAGGGCGTTGATAAACAGTCCTACCGTAGTAGCTCCCCAGGTTTCCTTCCCGAACTCTTCTGCCTCTTTGACATCGTCGGTGATCAGAAAGTTGTCAAAGATGGTGCCGGATTTAACCTGAACAAAAGGCACCAACCACGAGTGTTAATTCCTCAACGAGACAAGACTTCACACGTGTTGCGTAACGCTGTTATTACAACTCGTTGGATGATCATTACCTGCCACAGGTCCAGGCCCAGTACTCCAATGTTATCAAACTTGTATATGGTGGCGTCCTCGGTGTACTCCGGGTTGTCGATCTCAGGGTGGACCCACGCCCCTTTGTAGTTTGAGTTGGCAATCTGCTTGGGTTTCCACTCGCCCTGCAGAGGTGACCCCAGAGGTTAGGGGTTAGAGACTAGTGAAGGATGCAGGGTATGCAAGGATTTCTCCATGTAACCAGTCTAAAAAAAAATTTGAAAAAAACACCGCCACCTGCCTTGTCCTCCGCTATAAACGCCTCACCTTGTACTCTGGGTTGGTGATCATGGGAGGCTCCCACTCTCCGTCCATGTCCACGTCCCAGTCGTCAGGCTTCTTGGCATCGGGGTCGAGGATGGTCTCTGGCTTGTCCCATTCCTGGGAAGGAAGCAGAAACAGGAGTTCCCACCGAAGTCCTAATAAACTGTACACATCATGAATCCGGGATGGGCTCTTGTTCATGAAGAGCCAAGTTAGCTTGATCCGATGAACTATTGTCATCTCTCAGACATTCATTTGGGTGGTAGACATGGTCCTTCTAGTAAAGTTTCCTTTTCCTTCCAAAAAAGGCACTGTATTCAAAAGGAAAGTATCACTTCTGCAATCATTTCTACTCAGATTCTCTCGCTGTAAGCCAACTAGCCTACCGCTATATGGGGAGTTTTACATTAATGCTTCATCGCTGCCGTCTAATTCAATGGTTACAGCAAATGAGCACAACACTGGGCCATCTCTCCAATCACGTACCACGCAACTGCCGAGGTGGCAAGCAAAAGGAAAAATACTGTGGAAGCTCAGAAACACCTGCTGATCAGGGTTTACGTGAACTCCATCTGCCTCAGGGAGGTGTTAACTGGGTCTGAAAACCAGTGACCTGCTCGAGGAATCCAGTTTAGGAAGTTATCTGGAGGACTACCTCGGGCTTGGTGTCGCTGGGGTCGTCGATCATGGCCCTGTCGTCCCAGTCACTGGGTTTCTTGGCTTCTGGGTCCTTGATCTTCTTCGGGGGGCGCATGTCCCAGTCCTCCTCCAGGGTGCCGGACTCCACCTTCTCATTGTTGATCTTCACCTCGTAGGTCTGGTCTGGATTCAGGATCAGGGTGTACAGGTGGGTCATCTCGTCATCCTGGAGAGAGAGACGGGGGTTGATGGAATTTAGGACGGAGGAAGAATCTGACTTATTTTCACAAGAATCTAGAAATGTTGACGCAGGATTCACGCAGTAGCTACCTTGCACTTGATGTCCTTCTTGATGAGGTGGTTCTGGCCCTTGTAGTTGAAGATGACATGAACCTTCTTTGTGCTGTACCCACAGATGTCAGGACCTGGAACCAATAGGTTACTTATTTAATTTCATTTTCAACCTTAGCACAGTCGTAGCTGCATTTCAAAACAGCCGATTGGGTCAGATTTCCTTCAACGCGCGCTCGCCTCAAACAGTTGCGTTTCTGCTCTACTGACCGAACATGATGTAATACTGAGAGTCTCCGTGCATGGTGCTCTGGTCCTGGTCCGAGGGAAAGATCTTAACGTAGCCGCCTCCACAGTCGATCTTCTGCTCGTGCTTGATGGTGAACTGGATGACCAGGGGCTTCCCCTCGTTACTGAAGGGCTCGAAGCGAGCAGACAGGGCGTAGAAGCGGGCGTCCTGGCTGGTCTGCAGACCTGGAAAAAGAGGAGTGGACGGCCGCCGCTTAGAGATACTGGTTGGGAAGTTGTTCCTTGACCAGGTTTGGCTTCTGAATAAAATTAATCCAGAAGTTTGGGATTCAATGACTTAATGTCTTATTGTAGTCGTAAGTTAAAGGATTACTTCGGCAAATGTGAATGAGTAAACACGGCCACAGGGAGCATTCCAGCACAGAACAGGACCAATGCATTAAGGGTTGGGGGGGGCTACTGGGGCTAGGTGCCTTGTCTGTCCACACAGGTTATTCTAGTTCTCATACCTGCAAACTCATAAGAGGTGAAAAAAAGTGATAACAGGGGTTGGGTGGAGTTATTAATTGTTGTAAAATGTTATAACATGTTATAACCATGACATCTGAATACACGCAACACAACTCGGACCGCTGCGCGCTCTGTGTTTAGGGTAAAAATGATTTCTGGTGCCTGCCAACAGGAGCAACATGTGAAAAACTCATTTACTGTAAGGAAATCTGCTACCGGTTGAACCGGTCTGGAGTGAAAGGATGTAAAGTTGGAGGGGAAATGAAGACGCTGCAGATATCTCAAGGCGGATTGGCCAAGGCGCGTCACATCAGAGAGGTTTTATTGCAACGTCACCATTTCTCCTCGTCTTACTTCAATGTGGATTGGTAGATCCTGATGTGCACCTAAAAGCGACAAGTTTGCAGGTACGAGCTCTGGATTTAATCGTAACAAATTCCTACCTTGTAGCGTCTGTACCTGAAACAGGTCACATGCACAAACCTCGTTTGCCTGGTTTTGCATGACAACACCCATCAGTCAGTACGGTGTTCAGAAATTTGTCTGGACACCATTAAAAAAAAAAAGACGACGTACCTTTATCAGCCTCTGCGTCCCCATAGAACTTCCCTGCAGTCAGTTTCCACTGGCCGTAGTCGGTCTTGTGCTTGGACTCGGTCCACCGGCTCGTCCATCCATCTGAAACAGAACAACCCAACAACTGACTGACTGACTGACGGACTTTTCCTCCAGCGTGCATCCATCGTACCCTTCGTCCCCGGCACGAAGGGGACTTTACAATAAAACCAATACAGTTTTCGTGAAGATTTGAATAGTTTACAAAAACTCAGTATGTACCAGGGGCCACAGGCTCCTCTTTCCCCCCCCCCTTTTTTTTTTATAAACATCGAAGTTCTGCTTTTATTTTACCCGGGTTAACACTTTGAGGACGTTCATTACGTACATTTCGTCCTTTTGAACGGAAACGCGAAAATACTGCAGCACGACCGAATAGAAGAGACGAATAAGCGCAATATCAAAAGTGAAAGAATATGTGGACTCGCATTGGAAGGTGTCAGCTACTTCATTCACGTTGGACTCCCATTGCATGCACACTGTATTAACTTGAAGAAGTTACGGAGTGGCTTACATTATTTTAGCGAACGTTAACCTTAGTTATTTTACCTCTAGGTTGATTATTAGACATCACGTGGCTTGGCCTTTTGTAACGGGTTAATTCAATGCAGTACAATTATTTTTCAAAAGGAACCTTTTCGTTTAGAAAGTACAGACATTGATAACAAACTACGGACCAGCTAACGTTACTTTTACAACACGACCACACACACACAGGACGCGAATAGTTGAGTTTACCGCACCTCCGTCCAGAAACTGTTCCTTGAAGTACACGGTGGCATCAACGGTGGCAGATATCGATGCAATAACGGCGAGAATGGCCACTGGCAGCTTCATGTCGGAGCTTCTCACCGGCGCCCAGGTCCAAGAGAGCGGGTCGGAGGAGGAAATCAGCTAATAAAGGCTCGACGAGGTGCAACCTGACAATTTCAACGGTGACAAGTCCTGCACAGATGGCCGCGGCTCATTGGACGAGCGCTCCGCCAATAAAATGAGACCACGAGTTACTCTTCGGAGAGGCTCGGCTCGCGTCGGGCCGGGATCGGAAAGGGGCGGAGCCACGAGACGACCTAGCAGACGGCCTAGTAGAGCGTGAGGGGAAAGAGTGGTTACTTTCTACCTGGAAATAGCAGCAACTTTACAGCGAATAGGCCACAACGGTAAAAAGCTGCTCGCTTGTCTGTACGCTGGTAGCCTAAAAGATAATGTCGCGTTTATAATGGGGCCCCGAAATACTACAAGTGTTTGACGTTTACTGCCATCGTATGACATTTTTTATTCATTTATTTTATTCAAAAGCCTGGTATAATTAGATAGATAGATAGATAGATAAGTGCTTTACTGATCTATCTATCTAATTATACCAGGCTTAGTGTGATTCAGGATTCATTGGTTAATGTTTTCTGAGTGTTTTAAAGGCCACCGGTTGACTGTAAATGCGAGTCAGCCTGCTGGTGCCCAATTTCACCAAAACAATTATTTTCTAATTACTTTAACATCGCCTGAGTTGTGTTTTTCAGGTGTATCATTTATGATTGCCTTATTAATCATTTGTATTTAGTTGTCACTTTTACGCTTTAGTTTGAGAAACTCGAGGTGTTTACCCCGCGGGTATAACTCGCCGTGATCGTATAGTGGTTAGTACTCTGCGTTGTGGCCGCAGCAACCCCGGTTCGAATCCGGGTCACGGCACTTTTGACGAGGGTCGTTAGACACACCCAAACTACTAGCAAGGCATTTTATCTGTGCTGTAAACGTAACGCTGTCCTAAAAGAACCAAGAGACAATATGCAAAATACCAGATCATGAAGAAAATATCTCTGACAACGTGGAAAACCGATGTAGAATCTACCTGCCACTGACATAGTATAATGGAATCACGTTACTTGGTTTATTTAAAAGGTATTTGTTTATTTAAGTAAGCCCTCTCCTCCCACTCTGTCATTATTGACAGTTTGAAATTAAGTCTTAAGACCCCCTCTTGACTTATTTCTATCTTCTTACTGGGTGTTAATTTGCTGCCTATTTCAGTAAATTTCTTTTTTTAAATATTTTCTTGTGTATTGTTGCCTTTATGTGTTTGAAGCAGATCCTAGCCCATATGTCTCTAAGGGGAAGTCTATTCCTGTTGTTTTAAAATGTGCCTAATAAAACAAGTGACTTGACTCAGCTGGCGATGTCAGCATGACATATTGTTTCCTGATCACCATCCTTTAATCAAAGCTCTGAAAGCAACTCATAGCAATCATTTCCAAACCGCAGATTACTGCACACCTTTTATTTGATCATTATAAAAGCAAACTTTTTTGTTTTCTCCATTTTGTTATTGTTATTTTGTTGTCTTTTCTTCCTCTTTGCACTTTTTTGCGTTAATTGTGAGTCCCTAGTTTTCGTAGGTGAGGCCTGATAGGCCTGTTTACTAATCCATCCTTTAAAGCATACTGTACTGTTGCATTCTCTCCATCTGTATATAAATATAATGTAATGTTTATATGCCAGAGCTATGACAGTTAAAGTGTCAGAAACTGCAGATTAAAAGCTTCTATTGTTTAACATCCAGATTTATATTTATATTTATTTATATTGCCAGAGGTAAAGCCCTTCAGATCACAACTTTACCAGCAATGTTGACAATAATGCGCTTTAGGGACATAAGAGACGTCTGTGACACACGTCTTCCACACCACCAATTGAAAGGCACAGTTGCCAACTCTTCCCACGCGGACCGTTAGCTAATGTGCACCGACATCAGTACAACGATGTACGTCACACGAGACTGGTTGGAAACTGCGGATATCAGTGCGTTGTCATAACACCTCAATTCAAGGACAGAAAATGTGTCGCCGAAAATACTGTGTGATGGTGTGTGGAGGAAGTAGACAAAAACAACGTGTGGATGAAAGAGTGAACCAGACTGGGTGGAATGGATAGGGGTTCCAAACGGGCTCCTCCTGAAGGGGGGAGGCTCGACCCAGAACCACTTGCTTCTGAAGAACAGGTTTCTCTTGACAGGACCAGGGGTTCAATTGAGAACCACTTTCATCCAAAGAAGTAATTTTGGAGCAAAGAGGTTTTCTTTGTCCACAGTCCACCGCAGAACCCCCCTCTATGAACCTGGATGGTTGAGGGAGGTGCTGCACCATCACTCCAGGCCCTTAGAGAGCAATAACAAGATGTATGCTTCAACATCAAACCCTTAGAGTATGATTTTATCAATAGAATGCCCAGAAAAGGTTCTAGAGGAAACCCTTGGAATATTTTTGAAAGTAGGTGAGTTGCATGTAAGCAGCCTTGGAAAGAAGAAAGGTTCTGCACAGAGCTGCCAGAAAGGCTTCTGAGGGAACAATGCACCACGGAACACATCATCGTGGTGGAAGGTCACCACGTGCAACCTGACAGGTTCTACCAGCTGGAACCTTTTATATCTCGGAGGTTGAGGAAAACAGCTTCCTCGCTTTTTTCCCTTGATCTATCCTGTGTGTCATATGAAGCTCCGGGTTCATCCAATCCTTTGTTGGATCACTGTGGAAAGATTTGGTTAAGAAATCAAAAAATACGATACTATCCCCGGCTTTTCTTCTACATTAATGGAAAAAAGAATAGTTGTTAAACCGACATGAACATAAAGCAACGCAATATTCATGTGTAGTATATCCCACATAAAGAAGACAAAGTACACAAATATCTAGTGCTATAATATATTTACTGATGCTGCCCGAGTGAAAGAGCAGGGAAGAAACTAAAACCTTTTTCTATGTAATAACATCTTTGTGGAGAGAAAAAAATCATTACTGCGTCAAACTCTCATGCATTGCACAATACGAGCACAAAAAATAAGCGAAGTAAATAAAATACCACTTCATGTATAAAGCGCAGTATAATGTCATAGATGCATTTGCATGTTTGGTTTTTAGGCTTCATCGTCGATCTCTTGTCTGATGTCCAATCAAATGCTGAGCAGAAGTTCTATTCAATGACCACTTGGGGGCGCAATTAACACACACACACACACACACACACACACACACACACACACACACACACACACACACACACACACACACACACACACACACACACACCTCTGCGCACACATGGTTGCGTGTGTTGTTTGAGTGTTGCTTGCTGATATAAAATAAAGAGAGCTTTGATATTCGCATGAGCTTTACGAGGAATAAGTTGATGCTCGCTAAATGAACAAGAACAAACTAACTCACTGAACAAATGGAGAAAATAAGATTCCAGAGGTGTGCGTAATAATTCTACGCAACGGGGAAAAGCAAATAGACCATCATTTGGAATAATTTTTCCTTTTACAATATTTCTATTTTCATATAAGTGTGATGAGCTTAACAACCTAACCGGATTTAATGGGGAGGCAGAGATGAATGAAATCAGGCTTGTCACATGTTCATGTTTCAGCACTTGCAAATGACTTCACATTTTTTTTAGTGGAAATATTTCAACCACTGTGGGTCCTCAGAGCACGATCGAGCCGGTCAGGCCCTATTGCCGGATTAATTAAAATAACGTTTATTGGAAAGCAAGCAACAGTGGCACCTGCATTATCTCTGCTGAACACCAGGGGGCGTAAATGCTATTTTTAATAAATAATGGACCATTTACAGTCAAATAGACTTTAAAGAGTGGGTATGCTTATCTACTGTGATTGACAGCTAGCTTCTGACTGTAACATCGGTTGCATAAAAAAACTACCATATTTAATGCGTAAACTGGCGTACGGTGGCATGTTATTTTATCACCGTAAACCAGTTTAAGACCAAATGCAGATCGGCCTTAAAACGGAATAGCAGTGGGATGACAAGTCTGCACCCCTTAAAGGCTCCAGTGTGATTTAAGGGAATGTAACTCTGAATAAATCCCATTTGGATGAACACTGGCAGGCAGTGGCTGTGATGGTAAACGCAAACACAATCCATTATTTGATGGTACCAGCTGACGGTGGAGGAAAACACATTGGAGCCCGATTTGTTCCTCCACGCGTTTCATGTTATATTTTTTTCTCTGTCATTTTAATTAGATTTCCCTACAGATTGATGATTAAGTTAAGTACCTTTAGTTCCACGTGATTGAAAACACCGTAGTATAAAATTGTAATTTTGAAGTAGTTTGGCTCATGCTTTCTCTGTGGTCCCATGGGTGCCGTCCCGCAGTCACGTGGGAGGACGTCTCCAAGCGGTTATCGTGCGTGGTTTGAGTGGGAGGGTCTGTGTGTCTGTGGTAGACCTGCGATGACTTGAAGACATGTCCAGCTACATCCCCAGAGCATGCCGGGACCGGCTGCCATCCCGTGAACCCGTGATAAAGGTGGACAAAGGAAGCCCTCTGCCTGATGCCTTTGACGACCAATATATTAAAAGAGAGCCACATACACAGTCCTTTTCATTTAAAAATAAATGCGTCGCCCCTTGAATCAAGCAGTGCGCGTTTACCTTTGTATAAAGCTTGCCAAAGTCAGCAAGACTAAAACCGGAAGTTATTGCATGTTAACTTCAATCTAAAAATGTATATATATATATATATATATATATAAATATATATTGGAAAAAAAGAAACAAAACCACAAATGTCACATATATGTGAATATGTGTCGTTTTGTGTTTTCGCATTTTTAAAGTGTATTAACATTTAACTACTGCCAAACTACCCTTTCTCTCTGAGATGACAGTGTAAGTACAACCACTGAGCTGCTACAAGAAGAAAACATGTAAAATAAAGAAAGCCAATGTGGCTGCTCACAGGTATCTATTTGCGTTTAATTTGTTTTGCATCCATTTACATGCATACTCAGGTTTGTAGCGTGGTTTTGATGAAACTTAGTACGGCCATCTTATAATGGAAATGTGTGAGACTAGTATAAACGTTTTCACTAGCAGAGATGACATCATCGTGGTGTAGAAGTTGTGCATTAGAAAAATACCCTCTTTTAAGAATGACATTATTTCCATTAAAAGGATAACCATAGTAAACAAAAATGCCATATTGGTGTGGAACGGAAGATATCCAAGGTACTGGTTTGTGTGGTTATGCAAACAAGTATTGTATAATGTCTTCTTTTTTACCTTGTATCCTGTATACAGCCTACAGGCTGAGTTCTTGACATTACTACAGCGGCCGACGTTTTAGCCCAAGTAGTTATATATTTCCACTCCATACTTCTAAAATAGGTTCCACTATCGACCGAGCAGCTTTTGTTGTGAAGGCAGTGACCGGAAGTAGTATTCCTCACTATCGTTAGCTTGATAGCTCGTCTGGGAGGAGTGACTCGTTGACTGCGGCGACCGCAATTTCGGCAACATGGGAGCCGTTGTTGGATTTATTCTAAAGGGATTTTAAAGAACCGAAAGGGAAAATGGCAGAGAGGTGAGTCCACGTACGCACTGTGTTTCTATCCTCCCTTTCTCCGCTCTATTTGATACCTCGTCTCGTCTCAGAGAGCAGGGCGCTAGCAGCGGCTCCTCTGGTCGCCGCGCCGAGGCGAGCGTTAGCTAGCTCGCGACTTACTCGCTCTATCGATTCAACAATTCTCCATCACGAGAGAGCGCGTCAATGCGTCCGGCTGTGGTTCCGGCCGCCGGCGGGCATGTCGGCAATTTGCCCCCCCCCCCACACACACCCCCCCCGTGCGGGTATTTGTCAAGGTGGAGGGAGGCTGAGCGCGGCTGGGTGGTGATGCTGTTGCACCTGTCGGTGTAAATCCCCCCCCCCCCTTTGCTGGAATGCAGCGGACCTGCTCCTCCTAGCTGGAAGCTAGCAGCACAGCCCCCCCCGGTCCCTACGGCGAGGCTCGGCTTGGCTAGACGGCTCCATCCGTGGGCTCCTCCACGGTGGATGGAGGCGCCTACCATGTGAGGCGGGCATGGAAGAAGCGTGCCACCGTCTCGTGACCGTCATGTTCAGCAGCCCGGGGCGGGGGGGGGGGCAGAGATGTAGCACCCGGCTGTGCCCTAAAGGGGGACAATTCCGTATGAAGTGGTGCACTGGCAAGTATATTACAGCCCTGAGCTGAAAAGCCATGTTTGGGAACCACAGCATCGGTGGAGGATATGACATGTTACCGGAATAACGGCCGGTCGCCATAATCTCCCGCCGATGGCGAGAGGTGAAGACCGGCAGCTCCACTTGTGTTTACGGTGTCTCGGTGCGTTGGATCCGATCGCACGCGTCGACGATGCCGAACCTTTTCCCCACGTTGACTCGCGTGACCTGGCGTGTTTAACTCGGGGAAAACAATGAAATCCTCCGGAGTTTGTATCGCGTGCGGCGCTACAGAGAGGAGCGTCCCTCGCGAACCTCCCCCAGAGTGGGTGAGGGTGTGGGCCGCATCTTCAACACAGACAATGACAGGTCCCCCCCAGCAGCGAAAGAGCTCATGAGCCCCGAGTTAATAATTGATGGTTGTTAAATCCATGTCGGCGGGGGGGTCAGCAGGCATCATGTAGACCACTCAGCTGGGGGGGCAGGGGGGGGGGGGGGGGGGGGGGTTGATGACTCTGGAGGAAGCCTCGCCAGCATGGATGCGTTCCGGGACGTGGGCCGTACCAGACTCCACCTCATGCAGGCAGATGGTACACGGGAGGGTGGAGAGATGGGGGTGGAGGTTAGGTGATCATGTGTATTGACATTTTTGTATTGAGCAGCGACAAATTACACTGTTTGAGAGACCGCCACAATGTTTTACTAGAGTTAAATAATTAGTACCTAACCTCACAACTTCAAACTGATTTGCATCTTTCCAATTGCAGAAATGACCATATGTAAGCGTGTATACAAGAAGTGGTCGTTGTGATGTCACTGTTTGCTTTGGGGACCTCGTTTTGGTGTCACCATCTTGGATTACGGCCATTGCCATGTTTTTTCTTTTTTTGGTAACAATAAACAGAAGTCACTGTATTTGAGTGACGTAGAAACGGCAAATAAGGCTCCACCAGTGGCAGCAACCTGCCAGTCACTGTGGCCCCGCCCTAAAGCGCGGCCTGCTTCATGGTCTGCTGGACACTCGATGGACCCGAGTTTACTAAATGAACATGTTGCTGTATTTGGGTCGTCAAGATATCAAAATTATGACTTCCATAAATATCATAATACCTGATGCATAAAATACCAGAATTTGATGCAGTACCACAAATACGATATGGTACTGGTATATTTATCTATAGTAGTAATAAATAAAACACCTGTACGGTTCCCCTTTATACCACCTTGTTCCTGCCCAGCATTTTGAACACTTAAGGGGCATTAATATTAGTATTCGCCTACAGCAGGATATACATTAAAACTACGTGGTGCCATCATGGCATTGATTATACACGGCTGGATCATGGAGCCAAAGTACTTCCACATTTCTTTAGAGCTTGCGTCCCACCCCCCCAAACCCTAACCCTCAAAAATGACAACATTTTATATTTCATGAATAGATGAATAAATACTGTCTGATTTGATTTGTGTGTGTCCATCTTTGATCCTAGATGTTTTATATGTATATATTTTACCACGACAGTCTGAATGCACGTGTGCCGTCCTCTTTGTTTGTCCATGCTTTCACTGGTTATACTGTCTTTGACATTGCAATGACTTGTGGGTAATTCCATTGGGCAGTCATCAAGTCAGCATCCAATGGTGATTTACAGAAAGGGCTCAAAATGTCTACCAGGGAGCCTGGATACACTCAACAATTTGCCACAGAGAACTGCGATGTGTAACTTCAGTAATTTCTGCCACCTCACGTTTGCTCTCTGTTGATTGGCTATTACTCGGGACGTGTAACCAATCATAGTGCAAGTGAGACTACACACAGAGACAGGCGTCTGTAGTTGAGCCAATGTAGCACATCCATCCATCCATCCAGCTGCAAACTGCTTATCCTGCACACAGGGTCACAGGGGGGCTGGCGTCCCAACCAACTTCAGGCAATAGACGGGGTTCACCCTGGACTGGTCGCCAGCCAATCACAGGGCTACACAGAGACATACAACCATTCACACACACATTCACACACCAATCCAATGTAGCCCATTTTAAAACGATTTCATTTTATTGGTAGATTAAAAAAGCCAATAATACTTGTAAAGATGCTGTTAATCCCCTGGCAGGTTAATATACGGAATGTCTTGCTGCAGCTGCTGTGTTGTGGAGTTCAGTCTGTTGGAGAAATGTTGTGAACCTGTTCTGTGAGATTCCTCACAGCAGGATTGTTGGAACAAAGCCCCTCATTAACAGCTCTGAAAGAAGCTCTTTGTCATTACAGTGGGGATATATTTGAACCTTTTATCCTCAAGAAAATAACAAAGAAGAACAACAGTACATCAACCCAAGCATGAGGGCCGCGTGCTGCACGTGTCGGCACGTCTGGCAGCCGGCTTGACATCTGATCCCAGCAGCAGGGTGGGGCACCCAGCTTATGTGTGGTGTGGCTGAAATATTCACATTGGCCCTCTCAAGCCACTAAGCCGCCGCCGCATCCATCACACACACTCACGTTGCCCTAAAGAGGCCAGGTCAAACAACTGGTGGGGGGGGGGGCAGCCTCCATCAGGACTTGGGCTACACACGGTCGTTCTGCCTCAGCCCCGTAGTTTTTACTTGAAATAGTTGCTGTAATACGATGCCCTGCTGACCCATTTTAGCTTTATACAGTTAGCATCTTCCCCCACCATTACATCAGGGTTACCTAATACTTGACCAGCTCAAGGAAGTACAACCTACGACTAAGGCTGTCACAATATCACATTTTTGTTGTGCGATTATTGCACCAGCATTTATTGGGATATTATTGCAATTTCCAGACCATTTTATGCCACTGATAACATAATGACCATATAATAGCAGAGTAATAAAAGTACAAAGAATGTTTTATTTGTCAGAATAGTTAGACATCAGAATGGGAATGGGAAAAAATATATCCTATAAAAATAAAACAAAAACACATTGGGCTTGGTGCGATTCAGTCGGGATCGAGAAAATGTGTCCAGCGGAAAGGCGCGCCGCGGCAGCCGGCGAGGTTTAACGTAGGGCTTCGACCGCCGGCAGGGCGACACGCTCCGCAGCTGCAGGGAGACGGGGCGGCCCGGTGCCGCTAACAATCGGCCGGGAGGAACGCAGGACGGCATTCCGGGGACGGCGTTCCTCCCGCCCCCGGAAGGACGTTCATTTAGATATAAAATGAATATCACAGCACCAAAAATTGTTGCACGTCTTTTCAGAGAGTGTGCGATATGTCATCTTATCGCATATTGCGTCAGGCCTACCTGAGCCTATGTTGGAGACTTCAAGTCCCTACTCACACCAATAGTTGGTTGGCGGTATGTTCCTCTGGCTCGGCGTGCTGAAGCGTCCTCGAGCGAGACGCTGATGCTCAATGCTGAGAACAGGTTAAAGGCAGAAGTCCGATTTTATGTGTGTGCAAAGAGAAACATGCAGTTTCATGCAGAAAGGGTCAGTTACTGACCCCCATGAACCCTCTGCATTCACACGCATGAAACATGTCCATGACAGGTATTCCAGCTGGATTAAGGGATGTGCCCTTTAAATGTTACTGCATCATTGTTTTAATCAACCCTCATTTAGAGCTTAGAGTTAAATGAACTGCACCTCCACACAGAGCAACTCCATGCTGCAGGTCCAGCCGGCAGGTACCTTTCCTCCAGCCCGACATGGAGGAGGCTTTCCCCACCATTCTATAGCAGGGCCGCTCCACCCCCACTCCACCCCCGCCCCACCAAGAAAATCAGTTTTTTCCACATTTGCATGCACACGCAGACGCAGGTGAGCACGCTGTATTACTATTATAGGAACATTGACATGGCTCATGTGAATATAATTATACTGTTTGCATGTTCTGATGTGGGCTTCATTCCATTAAGACATGTGGGAATTTTATGGCACTTTGCGATACGTAGCCTGTTAAAGAAAAGCTCTGTGCGTCACATGCAAACCAGCCGCAAAAAAGATTTCAAACCCAACTCCCCAAATATGTTCCCCATGCAAAGAGGTCCCTGTCTGCTTCGGGGAGCATCTGAGAATTGAGACATTTCCACAGCTCCTCTGTCCTTAAGATGAGCAACACAGGAGCTTCCCAGTGGGGGCATCATAAAACACATCACAGAGAACATTAACATTTAAACCTTTCAATTGGGTTTTTGTCATCAAATCATATTGGAGATGTTTGATTTTTACCGTCCAATCCTCGTCAGTAAGAGAAGAAAAGTCTGTTTCACTCCCCGGTAAAACTGCAGCACGCCTCTGCAGATGCTTCAAACATGCCAGTGGCGCGTCACATTTCATCCGTCACAGTGCACAATCATTTGCTGAAGTGGTTGCAGCTCTAATCTTTCTCGCTGTTGGCTCGTCTTTGTGTTGGCGGA